AATGTATTAAGTTGTTCATTAACAGTCAGGGCTATGCTGATCAAGTCACCATTTCCCATAGAGTCCGTTTCACTTCAGGAGGTTTCCTTTTTTGGTGTTCAGTCAGTTGTCACCGATCAGGGAGAACATATGGTATTTGTCCCTTTGGGACTGGCTTATTTCACTCAGCATGATGTGTTCCAGATTCCTCCATTTTGTTGCAAATGACTGGATTTCGTTGTTTCTTACTGCGGTATAGTATTCTAAAGAGTACATATCCCATAATTTCTTTATCCAATCTACCGTTGATGGGCATTTAGGTCGGTTCCAGGTCTTAGCTATTGTTAATTGAGCTGCAATAAACATTAGGTTGCAGACCGCTTTTTTGTTTGCCAATTTAAATTCCTTTGGGTAGATTCCAAGGAGTGGGATGGCTGGGTCGAACGGTAGGGTTATCTTCAGGTTTCTGAGGAATCTCCAGACTGACTTCCATAGTGGCTTGACCAGTTTGCATTCCCACCAACAGTGGGTTAGTGTCCCTTTTTCCCCACATCCTAGGAATTTTTATATCTCCTATTATTTTCAGTGCCCCTTTGTACACTAGGGAGCATGCTGTTGAGTCTCCGTGTATTTGTATGATTTGTTTCTTTTGTCACTGATTTTTTAACAATTTATTTTATTTGAAAGGCAGAGTTATGAGGGTGGGGGAGAAATCTGTCTTCCACCCGCTAGTTCACTCCCCAAATAACTCAACGGCCAGGACTGGGCCAGGCTGGAGCCAGGAGCCTGAAACTCCATCTGGGTCTCCTACGTGGCTGACAGGGACCCATGTACTTGGACCGTTGTCGCTCCCCCTCTTCGCAGAGGAACGACACAGGACCCTGCGCTGTTCTTTTGTCTGCTCGGCCCTCCCCGGGTTTGCTGCTGGTTCTTCCCGGGTTGGCTACCGTCCCTTCCACCTCCGTGGAAGAGCGGTTCCCCCTGCCACTTTTCCCACTTCCGCGGGGGAGCAGCACACCGCCGGTCGGCTCTCTCGGGGGCTGCACAGATGTTCCCCTTAGATGTTCCTGGTGCATGTTGTCTCTCTCCTCCTTTATAGTCCTCTTCCGCCAATCCCAACTCTGCTACCCACACGCCGAGTACGCTGCTCTCCTCCAATCAGGAGCAAGATCAGCTCCTGCAGCTCAGTCAATCAAATTGGCGAGAGGCAGCTGCGTAGAAGTTGTTACTCCCTTCTCAGCGCCATATTGTGGGAGAGCAGATGCATAGAATAAGTCTTAATTCCAGTAACTTAGTCTAGTCTGAGTTGCTCCCCACAGACCATTATCTGCTGCTTTCTCAGGTGCACTAGCCAGGAGCTGGATCAGAAGTAGAGCTACCAGGACTCGAGTTGGTGCTCATATGGGATGCTGGTGTTAAAGGTGGCAGCTTAGCCTGCTGCAACACAATGCCAGCCCCATTGTTGCTGATTTCTATTTAATGCTATTACATTGTGTTCAGAAACTTGAGCTCAGTTTTTAAAAACTCTGTTGTGGGGCCGGCACCGAGGCTCACTAGGCTAATCCTCCGCCTTGCGGCGCCGGCACACTGGGTTCTAGTCCCGGTCGGGGCGCCGGATTCTGTCCCGGTTGCCCCTCTTCCAGGCCAGCCCTCTGCTGTGGCCAGGGAGTTCAGTGGAGGATGGCCCATGTGCTTGGGCCCTGCACCCATGGGAGACCAGGAAAAGCACCTGGCTCCTGGCTCCTGCCATCGGATCAGCGCGGTGCACTGGCCGCAGCAGCCATTGGAGGGTGAACCAACGGCAAAGGAAGACCTTTCTCTCTGTCTCTCTCTCTCACTGTCCACTCTGCCTGTCAAAAAAATCTGTTGTGCCAGGGGCTGGCACTGTGGCCTAGCAGGTAAGGCGCCATCTGCAATGCTGGCATCCCATATGGGCGCCGGTTCCATTCCTGGCTGCTCCACTTCTGACCCAGCTCTCTGCTGTGGCCTGGGAAAGCAGAAGAAGATGACCCAAGTCCTTGGACCCCTGCACCCACATGGGAGACCAGAAGAAGCTCCTGGCTCTTGGCTTCAGATTGGCAAAGCTCTGGCCATTGCAGCCATCTGAGGAGTGAACCAGCGGATGGAAGACACTCTCTCTCTGCCTCTCCTTCTCTCGCTGTATAACTCTGACTTTCAAATAAATATTTTTTAAAAATCTGTTGTGCCTTATTTTGTGGCCTGATATGTGCCCTATGTTAAAGAATACCCCATCTGCTGATGGAAAGGATGTGTGTTCTCCAGTTGCTAAATGGAATGTTCTATAAATGTCTGCTAGGTCCACTTGGTCTATAGTGTAGTTTATTTGTTTTGGGGTGGAGGGTTGGGTGACGCATCTGTTGATGAAAGCGGGGTGTTGAAGTTCCCTACTGTTACTGTAGTGAAGCTTCTCTCTCCCTTTAGATCCAAATGTTTGTTTTATAAAATTGGGTGCTCCTTTGCTTAGGTGCGTATACATGTAGTCATCAGATCTTGTTGACTTAAACCTTTAACCATTGTGTAGTGGCCATCTTTGTCTTTTACAATTTTTGTCTTAAACTATATTTTGTCTGATTTAAGGATAGCTACTCCTGCTCACTTCCGGTTTCCATTTGGATTTTCTATCCATTGGCTTTCCCTCTGTGTGTGTTTCTTGTGCTCAGCCTATCACTGAGTCTTGTTGTAACCCTTCCAGCCAGTCTGCATCCTTTAACTGGGGCATTAATCTACATTCAGGGTTATCACTGATAGTGACTTAGTCCTGTCATTTTTTCTTTAAAATTTATTTTGAATATTCTTTGTTCTTTTGCTAGTGGATTTTATATTCTCAGCTTTCTTTCTGTGTGGAAGACTCTCTTAAGCGCTTTTGTAAGGCATTCTGGTGGTGATGAATTCCTTCAGTTTTTGATTGTTTTGGAAAGTCTTTATTTCTCCTTCATTTTGAAAGATTTACTGAGTATTCTTGTCTGGTAATTGTGTTTTCTTTCAGAATTTGGGATGTGTTATTCCATTCCCTCCTGGACTGCAAGATTTCTGTTGAAAAATCTGTTGACCTAATGGGGGTTCCCTTAAAAGTGACCTGGTGCTACTCTTGCAGATTTTAGAATTCTTTTTATGTTGTATTCTTCCCCCCAAAGATTGATTATTTATTATTTATTTATAAAGCATAGTTATGGAGGGAGAAGGGAGAGAGGTATCTTCCATCTGCTGATTCATTCTCCAGATGGCCACAATGGCTAGAGCTGGACTGTGCCAAAGCCAAGAGCCTCTTCCAGGTCTCCCACATGGGTACAGGGGTCCAAGCACTTAAGCCATCCTTATGCTGCTTTCCCAGGCACATTAGCAGGGAGCTGGAACCAGCACCCACGTGGGATGCTGGCATTGCAGGCAGTGGCTTAACCCACTGCACCACAATGCCAGCCCCATGTTGGACTTTTGAGAGTTTAAGTACATACGTCACAGTGAGGATCTTCTCTTGTCGTATCTATTTGGGGGTCCTGGGAGTCACCTGTATTTGGATGTCAAAATCTCCAGATTAGAGAAGTCTTTAGTTGTTATTCCATCAAATAGGTTTATGCCTCTGTCCTTAATCTCCACTGGGGGAGGTCTCCCAAAATTTGAATATGTGTTCATTTGATGGCATCCCAAAGGCGTCAGAGGGCATGCTCATTTTTTTTTATCTGAGATCTTTCAAAAGATGTGCCTTCCAGTTCAGATATTCTTTCTTCTCATGACCTAGTCTGCTCTTGAGGCTTTCGTTGCCATTTTTATTTGGCTGAATTCATTTCTAAGGCTTCTGTGTGGTTCAAGATCTCTGATAAGTTGCGCGTTCATATGCACTGATTTCCTAATTCCGTGTAATTCTCTATATTCTCTTCTGAGTAGCCCCGTAATCGTTCTGCTGCATTCTTGATCAGGTGTTTCATCAGTTTCCCTTTCTTTGGAGTCTGGTACTCAAGCGTTATTGGATGCTGTTTGGAGCATCATGTTGTCTTGCCTTTGGTAGCTGTTGTGTCCCTAGGTTGATGTTTGCATGTCTGGAATATCAGTGGTTTCTATTAAAGGATGGCTTTAGGCGCTGTCATTATGATGTAGCAGGTTAAGCTGCTGCTCGAATTGCTGGCATCCCATACGGATGCTGGTTTGAGTCCTGGCTGCTCCACTTCCAATCCAGCTCCCTGCTAATGCACCTGGGAAAGTAGAGGAAGATGGCCCAAGTCCTTGGGCCCCTGGACCCACTTGGGAGACCTGGAAGAAGCTCCTGGCTTCAGCCTGGCTATTGTGGCATTTGGGGAGTGAAGCAGCAGATGGAAGGCTTTTTCCTGAACGTGTCTTCAGGTGTGAGTTCAGTAGGCTAATTGGGTTTAGTTCCAGTTGGACACCAGCGTGTGGTCGCCCTTTCCATGCTTTTCATAGTAGTCAGTGGTAGCATTAGTAGGGTTCTAGCCCCCCACTGAGAGGGAGGCGAGAGCCATGGAAGAGGGACGGTGCTGGGAGCACACTGGGCTGGCGCTGGGAGTGGGCTGTGAGCTCCTGCTGGAGGGAAGGACCAGAGCCCCGAGAGTGGCGTGCACACCCTCCTCTGCTGTTCTCGAGAAGGGGCTGGAGCAGCAGGAGTGGTACTGGCAGCAGGCCAGGCACATGCAGTCCCAAGGAGCGGTGGGCGCACTGGGCCAGGCTCATAGAAACCCTGGGTGGGAATCCCAGTGTGTGGGGGCCTTGGTGGCAGTGAGTGATGCCCTGGTGGAGGCAGGGGGACAGTGTCCCTACTTTGCCCTTTTGTATCACCTTTTATAGTGCTGCATGGGCTAGGGTGCTAGGGTTACCATTGTCCTGCAGGTCTGTTGGATTTTTGAGGTGACTGTTTTGCTAATGTGGTCGAGTGTCTGTGGGACCCCAGATGTGTGGGCACTTCAGGATGGCCAAGATGGAGCCACACTGCTTCAGCTTGTGCTGTAGCCGATATGAGGGAGTGCGTCTCTGCATCAAAGCAACCCCGGGTTCTCCAGGCAGCTCTCCTTCCTGGGCTCCTGGAAGTGCTGTCTGGACCACTCCAGCAGGGAAGGCATTCGTGCAGATGGGCCCTGCTGTGATTCTCCCATCTACTCCTTCCCCCTGCAGCGTGGGCACCCCCTGCTGTGGGGCCCGGTCTAAGCTGCTGGTTGGCTTTGCTCCCTGTGTGCGCTGCCATCCCAGATCACCAGGTCCTTCCAAGTCCCCATTATTCCATCTTCCTCCACGTACGGAGTATTTGCTGCCAGGGCTGTCCAGGAGGAAGACACCGGGCTCCCCATTTTGGCCATCTTGCAAATCCCGGGCCTGTTTTCCTGTGTATGGAATGGATGTAATCGCTCGACAGTCACCTGGGCTAACTGCCCGCCTGTGCATTGCTGGGTGTATCACGAAGACAAGACGATGAGAGGGGATGAGGTTACTGTCGCTGGGAGGAGATTCTGAAAGCAGGGAACCAGGGAAGATGACAAAGGGATCCTAAGCAGAGGGGGATGGGGCCCTGGAAGCTTGTGTTTCTGGGAGGGGAGTCTGGATCCCAGAGTTCTAGGAGGAAGATGCTGGGCGAGGAGGGAGGACCCCAGGCACGCGGCAGTGGCTCTTGGGGCGCCTGTCGCCGCTAGGAGGCCTTTGAGGCTGGTGCTCACCGGCCCTGTCCTGTGTCGGGCTGTGTTGCAGACTGATGCAGAGGAAGTTCTCGGAGCCCAACGCTTACATTGACGGCCTGCCCAGCCACGAGCGCCAGGAGGAGCTGTATGATGACGTGGAGACGTCAGAGCTCACAGCAGCGGTAAGGGGCCAGCCAGTCCTCTTCCTGCCAGGGCTCAGGGCTTGCATGCCAGAGTTCATGGACTTGTCTTGGAGTGGGTTGAGTCACCTACAAGGTCAGCAGCGTGGACGCTAAGGTGCCACGAGTTGTGCTGCTCACTGGTGGGGGCTTCACTCGGTGAAATGGCTGGCTGCGCTTGGGTGGGCCATGTGGTGTGGGGTCTGAGATCCAGGACTCCTTCAGCCTTTGAGGTCCAGGTTGATGGTTGAGGGGTACAGGTGGTGTAGGTGGCAACTCCCACGTCCTGGGCATTGAACTCTGCTGTGCTACGGGCTTCACGTAGATAGATACGCGGTCAGTCCCAGTCACCATGGAGGAAGGTACTACTGTTTGCACGGTCATGGGTGGGGAAGGCTCAGGGATGTAGGGTGTCTTGGGTCTCACCCACCCCGCTGCTTGGGTGACACATCCAAGACTCCAGTGGAGTTCCCCCGGAGGAAGAGAGCTTCCCCGCTAACTCCAGAATGGAGTGGAGACAGAGCCTAGAGGCCAGGTCGGTGCCTCTGCCACAGCTGAGGGCGTGGAGGCAATGGTGACTGCACCTGTTTTCTGCAGGTGGAACCCGCCGAGGAACCCGCTCCTGCCGCAGATGCCCCGAGTGAGAGTGAGCTGGACCGAGTGTACCTAGACCTCACGCCAATCAAGTCCTTCCTGCACAGTCCCGGGGGGGTGCAGGCCCGGGCCGCCTCCCCCACGTCTCCACACCTGGATGGTCAGGGCGAGGACCCCCCTGCTGCCCCGAGTCCAGGCTCTGCCTCAGAGGAGCCCTGCTGTGTGATATCCCCAGAGAGCCTGGAGGAGCAGGTACAGCCCGTCCCCCAGCAGGCGAGCCGGGCCCCCTCCCTGCACCAAGCTGAGTCGGGTTTGCTTCTTCCAAAACAGAGGCAGCTGCAGAGCGTGGAGCCTGAGGACGCTTCCCTGATAATCACTCCTGTCAAAATCCAGACCGAGCAGCAGAGAATCTCCTTCCCCCCGAGCTGCCCCGATGCTGTGGCTGCCACCCCGGCCGGTAGCAGCCCCCCTGCGAAGGACAGACTGCGGGTGACCAGTGCAGGTGCTTGTCTGATGGGGAAGCAGGTTCAGACGGTGTCGACGCTGGCCCGAGCTCCCCCAGCAGTCTCCTTCCCTTCCCTGCTAGGCTCGCCTGGCCGTCGGAGCTGCTCTTCTGCCCCAGCCACGGGTTCTCGGTGGTCCCCGGGAGTGGGCTGGGTGCAGCCCTCATGCTCCAGCCCCGCTGAGGCTTCCTCTCTCGGGCTGCAGAGATCAAGCTTGGCAAGAACCGGACGGAGGCCGAGGTGAAGAGGTACACGGAGGAGAAGGAGAGGCTGGAGAGGAAGAAGGAGGAAATCCGGGGCCACCTGGCTCAGCTCCGGAAGGAGAAGCGGGAACTGAAGGAGACCCTGCTGAAATGTACAGGTGAGGCCGTTGCTCCCCGACCTGGTGGCCACAGGACCGGCAGGTGGTCTGTGAAATCTCTAGAAGTCGCTTAAAGCCAACTCGCATTCCTGGGCCCATCGTCAGATGGAATGCCAAGACCTGGCACGAGATTCTGAGATCTGGGTCAGTGCCTGGAGTCGCCTGGCATCTCCTCTCTGCACGAGCCCCCCTGGGCTTCTCAAAGCCTTCTTTAAAGCGAACAGAAACTGAAGACCCCTGTAGCATCTGTGTCCGTGTATTTTCTAAATCCCCCTTGTATCATTTGACAGCTGTTTTGTGGCGACTGAAACGTCTCTGATCCTTGGAGGTGCAGGAACTGTGGGCTCCTGGAGTATTTCAGTTGCAGAGTTGCACCAACAAGCATAACTGGCAGAGCAGGTCTGGGGACAAATGCAGCTGCACTCCGAGCAGCTCATCAGATGACTGGGGAAGGAAGGTCTTGGGGGTGCGGCAGAGCCAAAGCTGATGCACTCTGGATGGCATAGAGTTGGCCCATTTAAAGTGTACAGATCAGCTTTTAGAACATTCAGAGCTATACACCCAGCCCCACAGCCGACCTCAGAGCAAGCGTGTGTCTGAGCAGCCACTCCCCCTAGTCCCCAGCCCTCCTGGCCCCGGACACCCATCTGCTTTCTGCCTCTCTGAATGGGCACCTTCTGTCTCTGAGGGCTCCGCAGGCTGGCTCTGGTTAGCTCACAGCAAGACAAGTAGCCACTGGACTTCCCGTCCACCCCACCAAGACCCGCTAGCATGTGAGCTGATGAACTGGAGCAGAGGCTCAGCGGTGACTGTCCGTAAACCACGCCGGGGCCATGGCCAAGGTGCCAGGCACTTCTAGCCCTTTCTCTCCTCTCCTGGATAGTCCAGGTGGGTGAGGGCAGTTGTCACTCTAGTTCATTCTCGCTGCAGCTGTACCCTGTAGATTCTGGGTTACTGTCACAGCTCACAAGAAAGTCATTCTAACTCCAATCCACAAAAGTATCAGCAAATTTTCTGCACTTTTTCCTCTACAAGTTTCCCTTACACGGTGGCCCCTGCTCCTGCTTGTCCTCTGAAAAGGGTTGACATCAAACTCAGAACTCGTCTGTACTTGGAGACTGTTGACTCACGCTGTGTATCGAATGCAGTGGTGCCTGCCTTTCCCGATAGCATCCCAGGACCTCCATGTCACCGAATCTTGGTACAGGTGCACCAGGTTGAGGACGTGTGTTCCATTAGAGCTATGTGGGCACTTTGAGGGCCAGACAGTCCAGCCCCTCTCCAGTGTCCAAGCCTTCTGAGTCGTCGTAACAGCAGCAGCTGTCAGAACACCGAGACGCCCAGGGAGGAGCTACCAGGAGGGACTTGGGCCTCAGACCCATGCCTTCTTGGGAAAGTCTGGAATTTTCCCAGGCTCTGCAGGAAGCCGACTCACGACTTGGGCTTCAAGGCTGCCCGCCATACACACACACACAGCCACTCCAGCCCTGACTGCTCAGGCCAGCCCTGTGGTTCACCAGGGCCCTGAGCTCCCTGGCCTTGGCTGGAGAGTTCAATTTTCTCTGCAGACAAGGGCGTCCTGGCCAGTCTGGAGCAGAAGCTGAGGGAAATAGACGAGGAGTGCCGGACCGAGGAGAGCCGGCGCGTGGACCTGGAGCTCAACATCATGGAGGTCAAGGACAACCTGAAGAAGGCCGAGGCGGGGCCCGTGACACTGGGCACCACCGTGGACACCACCCACCTGGAGAGCGTGAGTCCCCGGGTGAGTGCCAGGCGCTGCAGCTGCCTGTGGGGCCCCGGGACACAGGTGGAGGGAAAGAGGTCCTGTCTCCATCCACTTGACCCAGCCCTCACCGTCTTTTTCTGACCACAGCCCAAAGCTGCCGCCCCGACCCCTGTACCCGACTGCACACCAGTCAACTCGGCCACAGCCCTCAAGAACAGGCCTCTTTCTGTCATGGTCACAGGCAAAGGCACCGTCCTCCAGAAAGCCAAGGTAAGGGGTCTCTCCCGGGACCAGCCAAGCCGTGGTTGACCCCCGTGGCCCCACAAGCTCCCAGTAGCAGCCCCGGGGCCCCTGCGCTCAGCAGGAAGTGGCAGCAGCTCTGGTTTTCTGGGCCTTTGCACTGCGAGGCTCAGGCGTTCATGTTCATTGGCGCCAGGCCACGGACATCCTTGACCTCCCCAGCACTCAGGAACCAGATTCCAGGGATAGCTGCGGCCTAGGGCCCAGCGAGGAGTAGACAAGGAGTGGGTGTTGGGACTGGGTTTCTCCGGGAGGGCTAGACCCGAAGCGTGATCAATCCTTAACTCATTTGTACACTGAAGAGCACATCTACAGCTGCCTCTGTTCCTATCCCACTTTCTGGCTGGAGATGGCTAGAGCTTGCAGGCATCACTAATCACTCACGGCACTCCCTGGTGTGCCACAGCCGCAATCTCTTCATAGGCGCTCCAAGCAGTGATGAGCACACGGGTTGAAACACTTGCAGTCCCTATTCCTAATTGCTTCTATGCATAAAGGGACTTCAGGAAGTTCATGGAAAATGACATTAAAAGACACATTTTTGGTGCAAAAAATTTTTGCAATCCATGCATGTAAGAGGTCTTCAAAACATTCATGGAATTGTGTTTTTTGGCACCAAAATACATGTTTTAGTTCCATTTTGCTATGAACTTTGCTGAAGTACCCTGGTACAGAAGGTTGCTACAGAGGATAACTGATTTTCTCTTGGGGGGCGGGTGGGTGCTGGTGAATGGTACTCTAGGAATGGGAGAAGAAAGGAGCAAGTTAGGAACGGAGCTCCGTCTAAAGACTCTCGCATCCACGTGGACCTTGGTGACAATCCTACTTCCTGACGGTCTTGTGAAAGCAGCAACTCCGAAAGGGTGTCCGTCTGGAAGAAACCGGATAGACCACGGAGAGTTTCAGACAAGGGGAGGCTGGGAGGAAGGAATACAGAGCCGGAGGAAGGAATTCCCCAGGGAAAGGCTGCGGCTTTGAAGACTGAGTCTGATGGATGTAGACAAGCGTTGTTGTATTTAGAGATATCCTGTGTTTCTTCTTTCAAAATTGTCATCAATTGCTTTATCCAGATTTTTAAGGAGGGAAAAGAAGTCAAGGTAGCAGGGCCCTGTCACACTGGTCACGTGGCTTTGGAGGCTGAGAAAGTCTAAACTCCTGGCATCTCCTAGCCAGTGCTTAGCAGCACCAGGGGTTAAACCATCCCTGCCTTCAAGTTTGTTCTCTCTAGTTTAGCAGGCCCAAGTCGGTCGTCACTGATTTTAAACAGCCTTGATACAGCCTGTGACATAATTCTTGAGAAACTAACAGGGAAATAGCTGGGGCCAAGCTGAGCACTGACCCTGCTACATTAAGGATTTGTTTCTTGCCCAAGGCAGACCTAAAGCAACTTCTTTTAAGTAAGTTTAAATGACACCATGTTTATAGAAAAAAAAACAAAGTTTAAAATCTTATCATTTAGAATAGTGAAAAGTATTTTTTGCGATTTAACTGACTTTTTACATTACCATAAGGGGAAAAAAAATCACTCCCTGTTTACAGATTCAATCCTGTGGCCAGGCCGTTTTTAAGGGAAGAGTTATTTAATATAATGCCCTCCGCATCCCTGTTTTGGTGAGGTGAGCACCCTCTCCTCCCGGAATTGGCAATGCTGTTCTTCGTGCTGCTCCTGTCTTTTCCTCGGATTACACTGTTGTTTAACACAGGTTGGAACATTTCATCTATCATCTCTGCCTCATTTCTGGGGGTTCTGAATCCAAGTTCTCTAACACTGGTTTCCTGAGAACAAAGGTCTTTTTTTATTTGTGTCTAATTCCAGGGCATTTATTTCCTTTGTCACAAATACTTGGTGGCCTTTTACCAAGTGGAGAGTTAGGTTTTGTTTTTTTAATAAAATTTTCATTATATTTTGGGTTTTCTGTCTTTCATGTAATGACTTGGGGCAGGGCCTGGGGAAATGTTTTGGTTATTTGCACACTGAGCTTCATCCATGTAGTAAACTCTGGTAGAATTACAAAGTGGCATCCCAAGGCTTAAATCAAGAAAGGAATTGCCGGCGCCGCGGCTCACTAGGCTAATCCTCCGCCTAGCGGCGCCGGCACACCGGGTTCTAGTCCCGGTCGGGGCGCCGGATTCTGTCCCGGTTGCCCCTCTTCCAGGCCAGCTCTCTGCTGTGGCCAGGGAGTGCAGTGGAGGATGGCCCAGGTGCTTGGGCCCTGCACCCCATGGGAGACCAGGAAAAGCACCTGGCTCCTGGCTCCTGCCATCGGATCAGCGCGGTGCGCCGGCCGCAGCGCGCCGGCCGCGGCGGCCATTGGAGGGTGAACCAACGGCAAAGGAAGACCTTTCTCTCTGTCTCTCTCTCTCACTGTCCACTCTGCCTGTCAAAAAAAAAAAAAAAAAAAAAAAAGGAATTAAAGCTGAAAGAAGATTCTGACATCATCAACAATGTGCCAAATACACGAGACAACTACAGAAGCTGATCATATAGAGGCAACAAGAAGTTACACACACTCCTGCTAAGCAGAAACTAGGGAGGTTCGCAGTATAAAGAGGCAAAATGTGGCTCAATGAAAAGACGACGTGAGTATTTAGTGTGAAACAGGAGAACTGAAGAGGCGGCCCAGTGTTCTCCATTTTCAAGTTACCATAGCTCAGGTCGGAGGATGGGTATGGGGGAAAGAACCACTATATTCCTAAAGTTGTACCTATGAAAAATGCATTAATTAAATAAAAGCTTTAAAGAATAAAGTTACCACAGTTCTGGTAAAAAAAAAATATTCACATAACAAAAGAAAAAACCATACCTAATTTTTGGAAATAGATGAAAAATTCTTAAATAAAATACTAGCAGGGCTGGCACTGTGGCTCAGTAGGTTAATCCTCTGCCTGCAGCACTGGCATGTCATATGGGTGCCAGTTCTAGGCCTGGCTGCCCCTCTTCCCATCCAGCTCTCTGCTATGGCCTAGGAGAGCAGTAGAAGATGGCTCACATGCTTGGCTCCCTGCACCCGTGTGGGAGACCCAGAAGAATCTCATGGCTTCAGATTGGTGCAGCTCCAGCCGTTGAGGCCGTTTGGGGAGTGAACCAGTGGAAGGCAGACCTTTCTCTCTGTCTTTATCTGTAGCTCTACCTCTCAAATAAAATCTTGAAAAAATAAAATACTGGCAAAATTAAATTTGGCAATGTTTAAAGAATAATGTTTCATGACCAAAGAGTTCTCCAAAGAATCAAAGGTGGTTTATTATTGAGAATATACAAATGTGTCATTTATCACATTTAACAGAGTTAATAATTTGAGACTGAAAAACAGTCTCAAAGGAAAAGGAGAAAGCACACCAGAAATCTCAGCACTCACAATAAACACCTGGTCATCTAACAGAAGGGGGCCTTAACCTGATAAAGCAACCTGCAGAAAACAACTATCATAGTGAGAAAGTGGCTTTAGCCAAGAACCAGATGTGGATATGTACTGTTACCACTACTTTAAAAACCGTTACTCCGGAGGTCCTAAATAATGCAAAATGCCAAGAAAAAATGGCATACAACTTCCAAAAGAAGAGACAGAACTATTTGGAAGGGACACTTGTCCAGAAAAAAAAAAAAATTAACTCTTAGAACGAGAGCACTCAGCAGGGTGCCTAAAATCAGGGTCATTCAGAGAAAACCAAAGGCAACGTATGACCTATTTGCAAGGTCTTCACTGTATAATTAAAGTCAGAAGAGAAAGCTTTCGTTCCTTCTAAGTGAAAAAAAAAAAGCACAATGGTCAGGCACTGAAACGGGGAATTCCCTCTGCTGCTACTGGGACACAGAAAAAGTCTAACTCATCAGTACCATCGTCACTAGCAAAGGCTGAAGAAAGGTTGCAAGAGCTGGGACGCTGGCTGCTAAAAACAAACAGCGAAGGCCTTCAGCGCAGGCGTCCAGAGTTTGTTGTTTGGGTCCAAGGAACTGGGATGGGTCTCCTGATGTTATCCCTGAACAAGACGCTGACATCACGCACTGATGACTGCTCTTAGTCATGTAATTTCTGACATCTGCTGGGTGGCCATGGGCTCCTGCCCTGATGGGGCCCCCTGTGACGGACAGAAGATTATCAATCAAGATTCCCTGGCACAAGGCCGGCGCCGCGGCTCACTAGGCTAATCCTCCGCCTAGCGGCGCCGGCACCCCGGGTTCTAGTCCCGGTTGGGGCGCCGGATTCTGTCCCGGTTGCCCCTCTTCCAGGCCAGCTCTCTGCTGTGGCCAGGGAGTGCAGTGGAGGATGGCCCAGGTGCTTGGGCCCTGCACCCCATGGGAGACCAGGAAAAGCACCTGGCTCCTGGCTCCTGCCATCGGATCAGCGCGGTGCACTGGCCGCAGCGCGCCGGCCACAGTGGCCATTGGAGGGTGAACCAACGGCAAAGGAAGACCTCTCTCTCTGTCTCTCTCACTGTCCACTCTGCCTGTCAAAAAAAAAAAAAAAAAAAAAAGATTCCCTGGCACAGACACGATTGTCATGATTCAGTGCCTGGGACAGCAGACACTTAAAGTCTAACGATAATGGTACCATGGGGCATTAACGCTTCAGGCCCTCTTCTGACACCAGAAATCCTGAAGTTCTGAAAGCTGAGTGGCATTTAACTCAAAGCAGCCCTACTTCTGTACGTAGAACACGACACTAGAAGACAGCCGTGCCAACGACGGGGATGTGCTGGGAGAACCACGCTGATGGGCGACCCTGCCCCGCGGGAACACCCTCGTGGACACCTGCACAGACTTAAGTTAGGGCTGATGCCACTGGGGGGGACTTCCATCCTATGTGCAGTCCAGAGTGGACCAAAAACACCATTGCGTGGTGCGTGAGTCTGTACTGACATTTAACAGAAAAACCATGATCAAGTCTCAGGATTTCCGTCAGATCCTTACAAAGGTTTCTACTGCAAACCCAACCTAGACAACATGACGAGGGCTAAGAGTCGTTTACCAGATGCTGCAGGGGTGAGGAAGGACCTCGTTTGCCAGAAAATATCCCAGGTGCGCCTCACTGCTGCATAACTACAACCATTCCCATTAAATAAGTAACCAACAGCATTTCGTGGGGGTAGTTCTTTAAATCCTTTTAAAAGCAGGCATTTAAAAAAAAAGCAAAAGAAAACACAAAATCTAGGCAACACCAGATCTATGCTTTACAAAGCAAAAAACTCCTTAAGCTTTCTTTATCCTCTGTTGACCCTAAGAATTCCCCTCCTCTTTGCCCATGAAAAGGAGTAAGGAGTGCCCAGTGAACACCTCCACAGCGACCCGTCCTAAGTGAACAAAGTAAGCTGCCCATGCCCAGACCGACTGCACACGGCCTCTACAGACCGGGGCCGTTTGTATGCTCAGCTCTCCCCCAGTAGACAAACAAGGCAGTTCACTGGCCAGGTACTTTCCTGGTCTCCTACACACATAGATCCAATCCAGTCACTGGGGAAGGTCACAGGTGCCACTCAAAGCATCCAGGAGACCTGGGGCAGTGAAAAAGCCCCTGCTTTTTCCACCTGGAAATGTCATTGCTCCCGTGGTCTGAACGATGCTCTAGGCAAACACCCTGTGTGGGGCAGGGCCGTCTCCGCAGTGCTCTGCCTTGCACTAGTTATACAGAGTGAGCCTCAGACACATCCTGGTGTCTCCAGGATCCTCAGGGGAAAGCAAGCTGGCAGGTGACATACCTCAACAAGCCACCACCAGGCACAGAAAATATTTACTGATGATGCATCCAGAGTTTCCAGCATTGCCATCAGTGGGTGACACCGGCTGCTGCCACTGTCCGTGAGCACTGTCGGCAGCTGGGAAGTTCTCCCGGGCGAGGCTGGTGGGCAGTGGGCAGAAGGGTTCTGGACAGAGCAGGAAGCAGATGCCCCACGGGCTCCCAGAAGCCAGACTTTCAGCGTCCAGGATGCCCCAGCCTCCCGTGAGGCTGCAGGGAAGGGTTTGGCCGCTGTCTTCCCGCAGGCTCTTGGTGGGGGCCTAGTGCCTGGGGTGCGTCGCCTCTCAAGACCCCTGGAAAAGGAAGTGAACTCTGAGAACATGAATGTCCAAGTCCTCTCCTTAACCCACTTGCATCCCTGGGAGCCCCTTCACATCTCGCTCTTACTCCACAACCCAGCCCCCCAGGCAGAAGATGCCACGCCAGACTCCACCTGCCTGCCTCTCCCATCCACCCCGGCCTCAGGAAGCCAAGTCTTGCAGGTGGCCGAGTTCCTTAGACTGCAGCTGGAACTGTCTTCTGACTTCCGGCTGTTCTAACTTCATTGATTATTTTTAAAAAATACTTACTTGAAAGAGTTACAGAGAGAGATCTTCTATCTGCTAGTTCACTCCCTAGATGGCCACAACAGCCAGGGCTGGTCCAGGCTGAAGCCAGGTGCTTCATTCTGGAGGTCCCCCATGTGGGTGGCGGGGTCCCAAACATTTGGGCCACCTTCTGCTGCTATTTCCAGGCCATTAGCAGGGAGCTGGATCGGAAGTGGAGCAGCCAGGACTTGAACCGGCACCCATGTAGGATGCCGGTGTCACAGGCAGCAGCTTTACCTGCTGTGCCACAGCGCCAGCCCCTGGCTGTTCTAATGTTGGACTTGTGTGTGTCATGGAGGCTGCAGTGCTGCTCCATGCTCATTCTCTGTGCCCTGTCTGTCCCTTTCCCTCCAGTTCCTTCTCTCCACTTGCAGACCTCTGGTACCTACAACCCGTCCCAACTCAGCTGGCAGCTGCTCTGCTCAGTTCACTGAGCAAACCCCCAGCTCCCTCCCACCTACCTGCCTCTGAGCCCGCCTCTCCCGGCTTCAGCCCAGTCTGCTGTGCTCCTGGCTCCGGCTGCCCAGCGAGCCGCGATTTTCCTCTACGGTGCCGAGCACCATGGAGCAAACCCTTCATACCTACCTTGTTCACTGTGGCCCCGCCAGAATGGAACCTCCGGGAGCAGAGGTTTTCAGTGTTGTACACACTGCTGGATTCTTGCACCAGACTGAATGATTCCTACTAGTGAATGGGTGCCATTGGACCACCTTCCACTGAGTTGTTTGAGGCTTGGCAGGTCTTGGAATCCCACCCCACCCCACCTCCCGCGCGGACAGCAGTGCCCACTTACGGTTCTCACAGTGGGGGCCCTCCCAGCCGCCCCGGCACTCGCAGCGGTAGCTCCCGTTCTGCAGGACGCAGGTGCCCTCGTTCATGCACGGGCTGGGTTTGCAGAGGTTGACGGGTCGCCTGGCCTCTGCAATGGAGAATGTGCACCCCCCCACGCGCGGTCTGGGTCAGCCCCAGATGCAAGGCCACTATAGTGGCAGCTCCCAAGCCTCAAGTGTCCCTGAGGCCCCAAAACAAGGGGCCACGTGGCCAGGTTAGTAAGACCCAACTCCCACCCAACATTTCCATGTGCATCACGTGGCATTGTGTCATTTCTGCCCTGTGCCATTTAAAAGCTGGACAAGCAATCACGGGCAAAAGGAAGCCTTGGAGGCACACTCCATCATTCACTACCTAGGTCAGTGTGAGGGCTCTTTAAAGTCTCAGGGGGCCTGGGGGATGTTCTCGAAATGGCCTCCATTGAAACAGAACGCAGAAGTTCTCCAGTTTGGGCAGGAAGTATGTGTGTTCAGTTCTCTGCACCTTCCGTGGGAAATGGGGATGGTTATGCCCACTGTAGACTTCCCATGAGCCTGAGACGGCGTGCAGAGCCCGGCCCGCAGGAAGCGAGCGGTCAGCAGTTGGCAAGAGCTGCTGCCCTCGTCACGATGCACACGAGGGCTGGGCCCCAGGGGCCCTGAGAGGTGCGGACCCTCCCACTCACCTCCACAAATCCATTCGATGACAGCGTCCTGGTGGTACTGCAGGTCGGCGTAAGCTGCCACATGGATCAGGGAGTCCCGGGGACCTGCCAGTCTCCGCAGCGCATCTCTCAGCACGGGCCCCACGCCCACGACCAAGACAGAGACACCGTTGTCCCTCAGTTTCTGGGCAGGGACGGTGGCGTCCTCCACCCCTCTCCCACCTGTGAGCATCACCAGGGCCTTGGGGACGCCAGGCCGGGCGCCCCTCTGGACTGTCATCACCTGGTCGTGGACGTGCAGCAAGGCCGTGCCGGCCGAGCCCACCCCACCCAGGTAAGGAGCCTGGCTCATGGCCCGCAGCACTGCCGCTCGGGTCGGGTGGGCGTCCAGCCCAAAGGCAACCTGCACCCGGCTGCCGTACACCACCAAGCCGACCTGCGTCACGTCGGGGTTCACATCAAACCGGAGGGCACAGCTTCTCAGGAAACTCTGCATGTGGGCAAAGTTCTCGGGGCCCACGGAGGACGAGGCGTCCAAAAGGAAGACCAGGTCCAGGGATTGGGCCTGGCAGCCTGCGGGAGCAAGCAGGGGGACCCTTGTGGGGGACTCAGCTGGCACAGCGGGTCAGCCAGTCCTCTCTGCCTGCTGCAGGACCCACCCCCTCAGCCTCTTCTTCATCAAAGACCACCTGACTCCTAGAATATGGGCTGGCATTGTTGGCACAGCCAAGTATTAAGCCACCGCCTGCAGTGCTGGCATCCCTTATGGACACCGGTTCAAGTCCTGGCTGTTTCACTTCCAACTCAGCTCTCTGCTAATGCACCTGGGAAAGCAGTGGAGAATGGTCCAAGTATTTGGGCCCAGGACACCCATGTGGGAGACCCAGAAGAGGCTCCTGGCTCTGGCCTGGCCCAGCCCTGGCCATTCCAGCCATCTGGGGAGTGAACCAGAGGATGAAAGATCTCTTTCTCTCTTTCAAATACATAAAGAAATCTAAAAAAGAAAAGAAAACCAACTCTAGCAACAAGGAGAACCTGTCACAACCATGAGGAGCCCAGGGATACAGGGTGATGAAATGCTCTGTGGAACCCAGACGGGATTCTGGGATGCTAAACGGACGTTAGGTAAAAATGCAGGACCTCTGGACAAGGGATAGGCGTTAGTAAATCAAGTACCAGTGTTGGTCAATTCATGGTCACCCTGCACCCTCCGAGGCCAAAGGGTGACAGTGGGTATGGGAAAGATGGGGAGCCTCGCCTCTTACACCGTTTCTGATAACCCACAGTTCTGCTAGAAATAACAAAGCGAGAGCAGGCATTTAGCCTAGCATTGAAAACGCTAGCTAAGCTGCCCATGTTGCACACATCAGAGTGCCTAGCTTGGTACCTGGCTCCAGCTTCCTGTTATTGGGAACCCTGGGAGGCAACAGGGGTGGCACAAGTACCAGGGCCCGTGCCACCCACGTGGGAGACCTGGACTGAGCACTGGGCTCCCAGCTTCGGCTCAGTCCGGTCGCAGCTCACGCAGGCATTTGGGGAACAAACCAGCAGATGGGAACACACACCCTCTCTCCAGTAAAATAGAAAAATAATAGACAACATACACAAAAGCACTCTGGTCGTGGGAAGACAGGAGAGGCTGGGTGGGAGTGGGCAGGCCAGCCTGTCCCTCCTCCCTGTGGGCAGAGAGACACTGGGGCAGAGGCTGAACCCCGTATGCAGCTTCCCACCACCCACCTCCCAGGGCAAACCCGTCAAGCAGGTGCAGCTACCGCATCTGCAGCCATGGTGAGGCCCTGCCCACTGCGTGGCCAGATCTGCTCCCAGGTGGGAGGCCCGTTCCCCAGAGCACCCTGCGACAGCAGGCCGAAGTCGGCCTCACGCGTTGTGAAATAGAATAGAAAAACATCACATGCATCCCAGGGAGACAGCGTCGATTCCTTCATGAGACGTCTGTTCCAGCTGTGCGTGTGCACACTGCTGTGTGCACCTGTGTGCACTGGGAATGCATTCTCACTACAAGCTGCCATCAGAGAGGTGGTAAAGCTGCTGTCCTAGAGGAGGCTGAGATTCAGGGCTCCTTGTCAGTGACACCAATAAATAGCTATCAAGAATGATAAACAGCAGAGCGCTCACTCTGTACTAAGGGTGTCTGTGGCTCGTCTTAACCCTTACCCAAAGAACCCCCTGGGAGGTGCTATTAGTCCCGTTTTCTTGATGAGTAAACAGAAGTGTCTGAACACATGGCCAGTCCTTGAGAGAGGGGCCAAAGTCAGCACAGGCGCTGGGAGCCGCTGACGGTTAACTGGTGACCAGGAGAGGAGCTGCCCAGGGACCAGCCAGCCCAGGGGACCTCACCTGGCCGCGGCCGGCTGCACAGCTTCCCCTGCAGCTCGGGGATTTGGTTGAACAGGTCCTGTGAGTCTGTGTAGACCATCGTGTGCTTCGGGCTGCCCGTGATCTCCTCCAGCTCTGCCCGCACAGCCTCGCTGCCCACGCCCAGCACCAGCAGCTCTCGGGCCCTGGCACGACGCGCCGGGCCGGCCACCTCGTCCTGGGAGCGCGACTCGGTGAGCAGGACCAGCACTCTGCGTGGCCGGTCCTGGCCTGCCCTGATGGCGCTCCCAAAGCCACGCTCGGTGGCCTGCTGCAAGGCGCTGCCCGTCAGGGTGGGGCCGGCGCTGAAGGGAATGTGGTCAAGGCTCCTGACCAGGTCGGGCACGTCCTGGTACTCCCCGACGGGCACCGCCACCACCAGCTCCCTGCTGTACCAGGCCACGCCCACGCGGGCCGGGGAGTCCTCGCTCAGCAGGGCCTGTGCAAACCGCTTCACGAAGGCCTTGGCGCGCAGGAAGCCCTCCAGGGTGGTGCCCGCAGAGCTGTCGAGCAGGAAGAGGACATCGATGCGGCATTCCAGGCTCAGCTTTGGGGCTGCGGGAGTCACAGCGACACGGACGTCAGGCTCTGGCCATGGGAGTGTGCAGGTCAGGCCTGCCAAAACGTCCCTACTCTGCACAGGGCAGGAGAGCATCCCCCCTCCCCCCACCAAGAGGGAGATGGGGCAGAGGAATGGAGGCTCCGCTGTGGGCCGGCTTCACTGGTGCTTGCCAGGGTTTCAGACAGAGGCAGAGCTCTCCCTAAGGGTCTCCATCGTTCACTTTTTAAAACAGAAAAACGTGGGATGGGCATTAGGTGCAGTGGCTAAGATGCAGCCTGGGATGCTGGCAGCAGGTGACGGCCCCAGTACTTGGGTTCCTGCCACCCAGGTAGGAGCCCAGGACTGAGTTCCCAGCTCTTGAGCATTTGGGACTAAGTCAGGGGATGGGCTCTCTAATAAAAATTAAAAATTATTAAAAAACAATTAGGTGTTATTACTTTTTCCCATTACGGTCTGTGCTTTTCTGAGTCCTGAGAAATCTGTCTTCCACATTACAAGGTATGCTCTTCTGTTCTCTTCCAGAAGCCCCCCTGCCTTGCCCTCTACATGGAGATCAATAATCCACCTGGAACTGTTAGGGTGGGGTGTGAGATACAGGGTCAGGGCTGGTTTGTTTTTTTTTCCAAGCAGACCTCCAATGACCCAACGCCATGCTAAAATCATTACTTAACCAGCCCTTAACAAGAAGCCAAGCACTGTGCTAATTAAGCACTTCCTGTGTGTAATCTTACTTTTAAAACCCTCTAGGAGGTAAGGCCTGCCACCTGTTCTGAAATGCTTGGAGCCAGGAATGTTTCAGATCTTAGGCTTTTGGAATATTTTCATAGACTTTACTAGTTGAACATCCAATCTGAAAGCCCCAAATCCAAAATTCTGGAGCACCAACATGGATCAAGAAGTTTTGGAATTTGGAGCATTTTGCGTTTCAGATATTCAGCTGAGGGATGTTCAGCCAAAACAATCTCCATTTCACACCTTTAAAAACAAAAGGTGTCGGGGCCAGCGCTATGGCTCAGGTTAATCCTCTGCTTGCAGTACCAGCACCCCATATGGGTGCCGGTTGGAGTTCCGGCTGTTCCTCTCCCGATCCAGCTCTCTGCTGATGGCCTGGGAAAGCAGTAGAAGATGGCCCAGGTCCTTGGGCCCCTGCACCCTCATGGTAGACCTAAAAGAAGCTCCTGGCTCTGGATCCGCCCAGCTCTGGCTGTTGCGGCCATCTGGGGAGTGAACCAGCAGGTGGAAGACCTTTCTGTCTCTTCGTCTCACTGTCTTTAACTCTGCCTTTTTTTTTTTTTTTAAAGATTTATTTATTTGAAAGAGTTACACAGAGAGAGGAGAAGCAGAGAGGGAGAGAGGGAGGGAGAGAGGGAGGGAGGGAGGGAGAGAGGGAGAAAGGGAGAGAGGGAGAGAGGGAGGGAGGGAGAGAGGGAGAGAGGGAGGGAGGGAGGGAGGTCAGTTTTCCATCCAATGGTTCATTCCCCAGATGGCTGCAACGGCCAGAACTGCGCTGATCTGAAGCCAGGAGCTTCTTCCGGGTCTCCCACGTGGGTGCAGGGGCCCAAGAACTTGGAACATCTTCTACTACTTTCCCAGGCCACAGCAGAGAGCTGAATCAGAAGTGGAGCAGCCAGGTCTTGAACCGGTGCCCATGTGGGATGCCAGTGCTTTAGGCCAGGGCGTTAACCCACTGCGCCACAGCGTTGGCCCCTAATTCTGCCTTTCTAATAAATAAGTAAAATCTTAAAAAATAAATAAATATAAAGTGTTGGAGCCCTTGCCCCTCCTTCACAGGAGAGAGAAGAAAAGATTCTTCCCAGAGCCAGGACCGAGTCAGGCCGTCTTCAGCCTCCAGCTGGGCTCAGCAGCGCTCCAGCACCAGGCTGTGGTCATGCCAGAGCTGTCCTCAGTCTCCAGCTCCTGTCCTGCCTGGAGCTCCGAAACGGAATTCATTTATTCATGGAGCACTTGGAGGCTGTGCCACGTGAGATGTCAGGTCAGTGGAGTATTGGGAAAGTACTAGGAAGGTAGACGGCTCTCCAAGTCAAGGGCGGGTTCGCACCCAGTAGCTGCGATGGGGACAGACGTGCCCCTCAGTGGTCGGTCTTGGCGGCCCCGTGCATACGTACCACAGTTGGCTTCCCCTCCAAAGGCCAGCGGGCAGAGGCAGTGGTATCTGTCCAGCCCCTCTGGAACACATGTGCCCCCGTTCTGGCAGGGACGGGCATCACACGGGCCTACGGGGAGATGCCAGTCAACAGCCCAGCCCAGCCCAGCCCAGCCTGGTCCACCAGCACCAGAGGGAAAAGCCCAGCTCCTTCCCTCCCCCATGGTCCATCAGAAAACCAGACACAACCCCTGCAGCAGAGGGGAAAACACCAACAAGCACACGAGGAAGGGGCTGGGTGTGGTCAGTAAAGGACACTCAGCGGTGGGTCCACTTGGGAACGTGCCAGTGGGTCCCAGCCCATGGCTCTGATGCTGGAAACGACAGGCCTTCATTACCCATGTCTGCTGGGAAGGCCCAGAGGAGCTTGAGGCAGCCATGATGACTGACTGGTGCTGGACCTGAGCCTGCCAACATCGTAGATCTCAGTAGCATCAAGGCGACAGCACAGGTGTCTCAGGGAATGCAGGCGTGCTGATGGGGCCCTGTGTGCTCTAAGTTCTGCCCATGGTTGTTCCTCATGGCCACTGGCCGGGCACAACAAAACAGTCCTGCAGTCAGGCGGCTTGGTCAGCAATGAACGTGGCCAGCTTCATGTCCTCGATACCTTGATTAACCTCTGTAAGCTTCAGCGTCCCCATCTAAGAAGATGTGTTGATACCGGAGCCTGTTCCCCAGTGCTGCTGTGTGGATGAGATGAACTGACACCTGCGGGGTCTTGGCACAAAGCACTGTGTGCTTCTGGATGCCGAGTGCAAATGATACGTGATGCCTCTGGCTGAGAGTGTACATAGGACTCCACATCCGGGGTGCATCCGGAGGTGTGTGATCCGAGATACTCTGTGGTCCACATCTGAGCTCCTTACGGATTTCCTTATTGGTTGTTACAAAAATGCCAATGAGACCACACGGCCTCCCTCCCAGGGTCAGAACAGGACCTCCAGGTGTGCATGTCTTCCAAGGGCTTGGTAAGTGTGGTTACCAGCAGGGCTGGTGATTCCTCTCCTTTACTTCAATATAATGATGGTCACATCATGGTCATTGAAGTGTAGACTTTTCGAAAGGAGAAAATACTGAGGCTGACCCCTGGGCTCCTGGCTCCAAAACCAGTCCTCAACGTGAACTTCTGAGAAGCAACAGCCCCAGGGTCAGCTTCTTTTATGCTTCAGAGGCCAGGGATGTTGGAATCTGAACACTCGGAAAGGGCACGCCCAGGGCCCCTGCCCGGGGTCGGGGGGAAGTGACCCTGCTCCTCACCTTGCTAGGAGCAGCAAACCCACCCAAAGGCTGCACCTGCCCACCCTGGGGCCACCTCCAGCTCCCAGGTCAGAGGATGCGCTAGACCGCTGGGGTCCATCACAGCCCATGAATGATGCATAACACCTCGCGCTCGTCTGGGGTCTGGGAGCAGATGAAGCCCTTCTGAGGGGGCTGCCTCGCGGTCTTCACTCGGACCTCGTGCCTGACACCCCTCATCGCATAGAGGAGGAGCACGGGCATTTCAGACACCGAGCAGACATTGCAGGGAGGAGGAGACACTGAAAGGTCTGCCCGGAGCTTGGCCGTGTTTGAGGCCATCTACAAGGCTGCTGCTCTCATCAGTGCAAGGAATGTTGGTTAAGGGGAGTAAAATTCCAAAGCTGTCACCCATCCTTAGCGAAAGGGCACTACGGAGCAAGCGTGGGATGAATGCAGCATGAACGCACTACTCTGCCTCCCAGATGACCCATCCATGTGTCCAGGAGCCGGTCCCATCCCTGACTCTAAGTGCCCCCTTTACACACCAGCCTGGGCCCAGGAAGAGTTGGTGAATCCAAGAAGCAGATCATACCTGGGCAGGTGGTCCTGTAGCAGGTGGCGGGATGGGAGAGGAGCACTTTCTTCCAGCTGCAAAAACCCAAGGAAACAGAGCGGTCGGGAGATCCATCGTTTCAAGGGAGGGCAGAAACCCCCACGACTATTTACAGCACCAAAAGCCGACCTAATGTCCCCGTGCAGAGGAGGGTCAAGAGAGACGCTGATGTCTTCCTGATTTTACTCTTCCATCTGCACGTAGACTAGGGGATGTGCCAAACTCCTCAGACACAACTGGAGAAGATAATGCCGGCAGGCCATCTCCAGCTTTTTAGTACTGTTAGGCAATGTTACTTATTAAGCTACTTTCTGAGCCCCACAATGCAGGGAGTGGCAGGAATACTGGGAATGGGGCAACTGGTCTCAGGCTGTGTGACCCCAGGCATGGGGCTTTCCTTCTCTGGTCTTCAGTTCCTGCGTTTTCCACTGCACTCCTTAGAGCCTTGATGACAACAGAAGGAGCCCGAATGGCCTCCCCCAGGCCCCAGCCTCCCTTTCTCCCAACATGTGCTGCTTCTCTCCAGTCAGCCCGAGTGTTGACCCAAGGCTCCCTGCTCAAGGGGGTCTACAAACCATCACACTCAATGACCGCTCAGTGTGTGTGAGCACTGACACCCTGTGATAACCAAACAGCCACCATTCCCGAGGGGCCTCCATGTACAAGGCAGCCCCGCCGTGACCTCAAGTCCACAGCTACCTGAAGAGGGGGTGATCTCCACCAGGTGGGCCGAATTAGGCTGCCCACAGTCACGTGGTTACTGGACTGCAGCACAGCTGGGGTCCGATCCTGACCACCGGATTCCAAGGCCCCCCGGGCCTCGCCTCCTGCCCTCCCTGATCTCTGTGGCGCCTCCCCAGGAGGGCAGAAGGTCATTCCCTTTGTTGTCATGGGGTCCTGCGATGGCCTCCCCTAAGGAAACTCTTTGGTCTTGGCAAACATGTTTGCTAACATTCTCAAGCTAGGGGTTTTTTTTCCCAACAAGATCCCACCCTGGGCTGCCTAACCCAGGAGCAGGCTGATTGGCTCACCCCCAGGACAGGGTCTTCCTGGGGTAAAATGGGATAAAAAAAAGGCAACTCAATCAAGACCTCACGGCGTTGGGGTGGGAGTCCAGCCTAGCGGTCAAGATGCCACTTGAGACACCCGCGTCTTACGTGGGAACGCCTGGGGACCATTCCCGGCTCTGGGCAACTGCAGATTCCTGCTAGTGCAGACCCTGGGAGGCAGCAGGGAGGCTCAAATGACTGTTCCTGCCCCCTCCCCCACGGGAGACCTGGAGGGGTTCCCACCTCCCCAACATTACAGGTATTGCAGAGTGAAGCAGTGGATAAGGGCACACGCTCCCTTCGCCATGACCTGGAGAGAACAGGGCCCGGCTCAGCACCTAGATGGCTCGGGCGGCCCCTGAGCTCCCTGTCCAACACTCCCCTAGACCAGGGGCTTCTTAGGGGCAGGGCCTGTGCTGGGCTCACAGCAGTCACTCAGACACCCTCACTGGGGAAGGAACAACTCCTCCCTTCACTTGTGAGCTCACGCTCTGACTGCCAGCCTCTGGCAGCCCGGCTGTGGCCCAAGTCCCCGTTTCCTCTGCCCCGGGTGCAGGGCACGGCCATTTCCAGTTGAGACGCTCTGGATTCTCTGCCATTGTCTTGCCACATGGTACGCTCTGTGGGATCCCAAGTGGGACAGTGGGACCACTAGGGTGGGACCCTAAGACAGACACAGCTGGTGCACCCTGTGCCTCCAGAGAGGATGCAAGGCGAGATCCCCAGTCCTACACAGGAGTGCCACGTGGCAGACGGCCTGAAGCACTCAGCGGTGGATCAGGGAGTGCAAGGGAAGGGCCAGCGCCGGGCAGGTGCATTTGAATACCCAAGCTCCAGTCCCCAGGAGCCCTGCTCGCCCCCAAGCCCCCATGGCTGAAATTCAGCCAAGGCTCTGGACCCTCCTGCCTCACTCAGCCCTGTAAGTAGCAGCTGGTGCTCAAAGGAACCATTTTAGCAGATCAGTGCCCCACGGCCAGACCACTGCCCTGGAAGCCAGCTTCTGGCTGCTCAGCAGCCTCCCAGAGCCACTGTGGGGGTCTCATTCCTCCCCGTGCCCCAGAGCTCTGTCCCCGGCTCCCTCCCACGTCCCCTCTGATCCAATCCCTCCCTCATAAGCTGGATGGCCCCAAGTGCTGCTCGCCCTGCAGCTCTGCGCACCCCCTCCCCACCAGGCTGCAAGGAGCTCTGACCCAGACCATGTAGACGCACCTGTAGAAGGGACAGCGCGCAGCCAGCACAGCGTCGGTCTGCCGCGAACCCCTCCAGCAGGGGGCGCTGCCGGCGAGTTCCCTGACCGTCTCCAGCGTCCGGCGCTCACAGGGGTGAGCCTCCACCCGGCAGTCTGGAGTCCCCAGCAGCGCAAAGGATGGGGGGGAGGGGAAGATGGGCTCACGCTCCTTCCTCTACCCCCGCTTTTCAGAGTAGCAGCTTCTAGGAGTTCCAGCCCTGGCCACCGTCTGCCTCTCTCAGCAACACCGGGATCACCATTTCTGAGCTGGCCCTGCCTATGTGGCTCTGACCAGTGTGCACACGTGCACGGGCGACACAAGGGGCTTCACCCGAGCTCTGGGGTGGCCCTGAGTAAGGATCCACCCTTATGCAGGTGGATGCAGGGAGCTCCGTCCTTGCCCAAAGCCTCCCTGTGCTCCTCCACGCTGACCAAGGCAGGGGTGTGGCCTCGGCCCCTCCTCTCAAGCTGGGGGTGGGGAGGCCTATAGATTTGTCCCCTCCTGCCCCCCCCATCCTCCACGGAAGCTCAGAGCGGGATGCAGGGAGACAGAACACAGGGCCCAGGGCAGAGGCCACCAGACCCCACTCGCCCTGCCCTCCCTCCCTCCCTCCCTTAGAGGCTGTTGCCTTGGGGAACCTTGCCCCACCCCCACCCCATTCCTGCAGGGCAAGGCACTCCCTCCCAGGCTAGAAGGCCTTACCTGGAGCATGGATGGTACAGAGGGCAGAGCTGGCCAGGGTGCTGAGAAGGCCGTTGGTGGCGTCCTCCACCTGTTCTGCCAACAGCACGTGTTGCTCCCACGGCTCGCTGGCCAGGGCGTGCAGCTCCTCCCACCTGCCGAGAAGCTTCATGGGCTCATGCCCCCCACCCCGGCACTCCTCCAACCCGCCCTCTCCCGATCCCGAGGCCCAGGGGGCAGTAACCTCATCCTTCTAGAATGCAGGTAGGACTGAGAAGGGGCCCAGGGAAAGCCCTCAAGGCAGCCCAGGCCTGGCTCACGGTGCACATGCGGGGGTCTCCACAAACTCCCACCAGGCAGACCCCCACTCAGAAACATCGGCCGGCACTGAGATCAGGCCCCGGGGATTCTGCTGTCCGGTTTCTGCAAAACCCATGGCTGATGCGAAAGACAGTTCACCAGGAAGGAAAGGAATAAAGTGGCTCCGGATGTTAGCAAGGGCAGAGCAGGCAAGGTCAGCTTGTCATAGCACAACTACTGAAGCTTTATAAACGGTGGTCCGAAGCCCAGTGCCCAGAAAAGTGGTGCACGGGGCGACGGCACTGGACTCGAGACAGGGTTAAGTGATGTGAAGAAGCTTCCTGTGAGAAGACAGCGCAGGGTGCTGGGTGCAGTGGCTGAGACACCACTTGGGACCCCTCATGCCACATCCAAATGCCTGGGTTTGAGTCACGGCTTTGCCTCCGATTCCAGCTTCCTGCTAACGCGCACCCAGGGAGGCAGCAGGTGATGGCTCCACTACGTGGGTCCCTGTCATCCCTCTTGCAAATATAATGAAAGCAAATAAATAAAAATTTAAAAAAGGCGACAGGGCAGTCAGTCATGCATACAGGAGAAAGCTGCCAGAGAAAAATTCGGCGAGTAGACCTGAGTTTGGCAACAGGACAACCTCATTTCTCTCTAAAACCACTTATGTAAAGTTCCCCCTTCCCCTCGGAAGCCACATAACCCGGACATTTCTCTCAGGATGCCAGACATGCCTGGCACACAGGAGGAGCATCCCAGCTCCGGCCTCACCTCGTCCCTCTGGGGTCACGCTGGGCATCACTGCCCAGCCTACCTGTGGCTTCCTGGCCCTGCAAAAGACTTTCTTAAAAGCTGCTGTGGTAGGGGCCAGCACCATGGCGTAGCTGGTAAAGCCCCACCTGCAATACTGACATCCCATAGGGGCACCGGTACGTGTCCCGCCTGCTCCACTTCTGATCCAGCTCCCTCCTCATGGCCTGGGAAAAGCAGCAGCAGGTGACCCAAGTGCTTGAGCCACTGCTTCCCACGTGGGATTCCTGGAAGAAGCTCCTGGCTCCCAACTTTGGCCTGGCCCAGTCACGGGAGTGAACCAGTGGATGGAAGATCTCTGTGTTATTCTTTCAAATAGACAAATCTTAAAAAAAAAAAAAAAAAAAAAAAAAAGCTGCTGAGGTCACTTAGCTGCTCAGCAGAACCTGAGAAGGGGCTCAGTGAATACCACGGGCAGGGGGAGAATGAGGCAGCAATAGTTTACATCTCACACAGTTTCGTGCTGTCCCCAGCAATGGTTCTCAAACACCAGAACTGTTGAGAGCCTGATCTAACTATTGAGGACCTGCTCCAGCATCTGGATTCAGTGTGGTGGGCCCAAACATGGCTTTGTATTATTATTATTATTATTATTAAAGATTTACTTACTTATTTGAAAGTCAGAGTGAGAGGAAGAGAGACAGAGAGAGAAGCAGGCAGATGATGGCCCAAACTTGTGGAAGCCCAGCCTGACTGTTGCAGCCGTCTGGGGAGTGAACCAGCAGATGGAAGCTCTCTCCTTGCCTCTCCCTCTCAAATGCATGAATGAGTCTTTTAAAAAGAAAAATCCCATATTTCCTCCTCCGAGCCTGAACTCTTCTCTGCTGCAGATTCTTACGGCCAATCATCTGTAACTCAGACGGACTCTTTCTGGAGCGCAACTCCACAGCCCCTACTCCTCCCCATCCTTGTCTTTGCTACATCAGCAAGTGGCACCACAGTGCTCCTGGGGCCGTCCTGGGTTCTCCTTCACACAGCCACCCCGCTACTCTGCCCCCAAAGCGCACCCTAAGTCCAGTCGTTCCTGAGCGGGACCACAGTCGCTGCCCTACGAGTCACCTTTATGTCTTGCATAAACTGCACCAAAGTCCTCCTCACCAGTTTCTTCCCTGCCTCCGTTATGGCCTCCCCCCTCCACCCAGTCTGTGTGGTCTTCTGAAAACATCATTTCCCTGCTCCAAAGACTTCCCATCAAACCCATAACGAACTCCAAAGCGAAGTCTCGATGCCCCGACTGTGCCCACCTCCTGTTTTCTTCTCCCCCTCACTTGCCGGGCACCAGCTACTCCCCCGCTGCCCTGCTGCCCCGGTAACCCACACCAGGCTCGTGACTGCGCACGGCCTTGGCACCTGCCATCCACCTGACAACTCTTGCTCTTTTCCCTACAATTTCAAAGGCTTGCTCCTGACTTCACTCAAGTCCCTGCTTAAAGGTCAACTTGTCAAAGAAGCCTTGACACAATCCCATAGCTAAAGAGCTACCCTCCCAGTCCTCATCAGTTTCTCAACCTTTTACCCTTTGTATTTGATTTTCACCTGAAAATAGATTATGGGGGGGAAGAGGTTTTCAAAAATCTAGTGAAAAATGGATATTATGAACAAACTATGCATGGATTTGGACTTTGGGGGCATGCACATAAACTTCTCTTTTAATTCCATTTCCCCACAAGCTTTCTGAAGTACATTTGTATTTATTTACTCATCACTTGATAGCCAATTCCTTTCCTAAATGGAAGGTTCAAGAGTGCGGGCCCTCTGGCTTGTTCTGTATCCCAGGAACCGAGAACGGTGCCTGGCAGGAGGAAAACGAGACAACAGTGAACTAAAATGGAGACACCAGTTGCAGACAGAGTGCCACTCAGTGTGCACAGTGACTAGAGGCCTGTGTGCTGGGTCTCGAGTCCAGTGTTGGGGTCAAAAGCCCAGAGGAACTGTGTCCCCCTCTATTCCAGGTCTTCACAGCCCACCATCTGGACATACGTGGCTGGAGAGGCAGCAAGGGGGCAGTCACAATCCCCAAGGCTCTGGCCCGAGTGGGCTGTGATGCAGGCCAGTCAGAATCCTTTCTGGGATTGCTCTGCTTGAGCCCAAGGAAATGGGTCTGTTGCCTCTAGGGTGGAGCTGGGCACCACCTGTGGCCTCTGTTCCCATGTCCTAGGAGAGCCAGGCTCAGAGACGAGGCCACCAGCAAGACAGAGCAGCAGAGGGGCAGGGCAGACAGAGAAGCTCAGGGCACGAAACCCCCCACCCACCCAGGAAGTGAGAGCACTGCAGGAGTTTCCACGTCTGCCCAGACACACTGGAGTCATTTCTCACCCTTGCAGCCAAGGGTTCAGACTAAGCCAGGGGACACTGCAGACCGCCAAGGACTGGGGCGCCCTGGGCATCAGGGCCAAAACGGCCTAGTGAGGCAAGGATGAGTCCATGGAGGGAGCAGGACGGTTTCTCCCGCTGCCTTCGCCCGACACGGCCCCCAGGGCCACTGCGTGAGGGCTACCCCAGACAGACAGGTCTTACCTGGGAAACCGAACCCCCACGGCAAACACAGTGACGCCCCTTTCCTTCAGCTGCTTGGCCGGCGACGCCACGTGCCCCTGGGACTTCCCGTCGGTGACGATGACCAGCAGCTGCGGCACGGAGCCGTTTCTGCCCCCGGGGAAGCCTCCGTGCAGAAGGCGTTTCAGGGCGAGGCCCGTCTCTGTACGCCCTCCTCTGAGCGCACCCGCAAGGGAAAAAGAAAGGAGAGAAGTCGGTGAGGCTGCGAGGAGAGGTCGGGGTGAGAGCCGGACGTCGCTGGGCAAGTCCCTGACTGGTCAGAGGCCACCGTCTTCTGGTCACTGAGATCCCGCCACCTGACCAGGGAGTCACCTCGCCCAGCTCAGTGTGCAAGTGGCTGTTATATCCTCCCTTCTGCCAAGCCCCGTGACAGCTGTGGGCTGACAACACTCATCCTCTGGCACCCACCTGTCGTATCCCCAGCCCTGTATTATCCTCCCCTTCTTGTTAGAGAGATAGTATCCCCATCTCCATCACCTGGGGTTTGTAAAGCTGGTTCCTGAGCCCGGAAATTGAATGAGAATCTGTTAAGAGTGGAAGATGGGGCCTGATGCATGCGTCCCGTGGGAATCTCCTCCATGGTTCAGATCGTCCCAGGACACACCCACACTCAGGGCTGGGGGCCGCAGGCTGAGCTGTGTGAGCGCCCCAGATCAGGGCAGGCTACAGCGGTTGCAAGCCAGCAGGATGCTGATGGTCCTCTATCTGCTGAGGCTTGGGATGCTCTACTTCTCTAGGTCAGCCTGGCTCTAGGGCTGTTGCCTGACCTTGGAATCCCAGAGCAATGTCTCCGCCAAATCCTGAAACGAGGGGCCCAGCGACAAAGCTGCCAGCTGAGCAGAACACAACCACACACGACAATGGATTTGGGGCCGCTGAGCTCTGCATCATCCACATTGCAGCCAAACCCTTCAGCAGGTGGCAGGGCAGCGCCTCCTGATATGAGCAGCAGCGTGGAGGGAAAGGAATCACCACAGATACCGACCGGCTGTATGCATGGGGAAAAGCTGGTGGGCGTTGGCCGGCGTCGCAGCTCACTAGGCTAATCCTCCACCTAGCGGCGCCGGCACACCGGGTTCTAGTCCCGGTCAGGGCGCCGGATTCTGTCCCGGTTGCCCTCTTCCAGGCCAGCTCTCTGCTGTGGCCAGGGAGTGCAGTGGAGGATGGTCCAAGTGCTTGGGCCCTGCACCCCATGGGAGACCAGGAGAAGCACCTGGCTCCTGGCTTCAGATCAGCGCGGTGTACCGGCCGCAGTACGCCGGCCACGGCAGCCATTGGAGGGTGAACCAACGGCAAAGGAAGACCTTTCTCTCTGTCTCTCTCTCACTGTCCACTCTGTGAAAAAAAAAAAAAAAAAGCTGGTGGGCGCACCAGCTGAGACAGCCGACCCACAGGCTCTGACGAGGGGGCGCACATTCAGATTACCTATGCTCTGACTATGAATTCAGATGATATGTGTCTCTAATTAAGAGGAGCCCATGGTCATCCTTCCAATGTAGCAACACGCAACAGGCAAGAGGCACTGGGCAATGCGTTCTGTGCTATGTGCATGTGGCAATTGTTTTAACTCAACACCAAGGTGTGTATCTGCCACCTAAGTCACACACAGGCATTCCTGCCTGGGCACCTCTCCCGGCAGGCTCTGCCCTGAGCAGCTGCCCAGGAATCCAGGCTCCTGTGGTCCCACTTCTTCTGCTTTCAGCAGAGACACGGACAAAGAGCATGAGGACTATGCTGGGGAAGGATTTATGGACCAGACCTCTAACATTCTTCACTTTCATTACCTTCTACCTTACGTGAGCTCTTAAAGGACAAGACCCTTTGTGGAGCTCCATTAAGTTAATATTAAGACGAGAGAAATAGCAAGGAGTTGACAACTCCTAGAATTAAGACTCTCAGCCTATGATACACATCAGCACCTGCATCAATGGAAAACCCACCACCACCGACTTTTTTCAATCCACTACTACTTGCTGGGGACACCCCTGGATGGGAAACAGAGAGCAGGAGGTCTAGAATGACCGCAGACCAGGGGAAGACACAGGACCCACAAGGCAGGAAATCACAAAGCTCCACGGCAGGATGAAGAGAAGAGATTCTGAGGAGGGAATCCACTGCACACTGAGCTGTCAGGGAACAGGCTTCAGGGGGTAGGGGGTCTGCATGGGGTCTCAGTACAGAGCTGACTGGGAAAGGAGATGGGGCGGGGCGTAAGCAAAGACTCAGGCCGGCAGCAACACACCACAAGCTGTGTGTACGGCAGGCTCATCGACATCAAGGAATCTCCAGGGTTCCAACAGCACACATTAGACACCAAGAGGATTCCAAGTCACACGAGTGCCATGACCTTTGGCAGGGCACTGGGTCAGTAGTCTTCCTCCAGGACTCGGGTCACGGCAGGCTGGCTCCCGGGTCTAAAGGACAATGCCAGTTCTGGGCTCGTGCCTGGCGCTACACACTTCACATCCTTGGGACTGGACTGGTATAATCCTCACCGCTATGGTAAAAGATGTAAAAAGATGCTCAGCTTTTCCTTACTGAACAGATAAGGAAACTCCTGCTCAGACAGCGCCAACGTAACTGCTAACACCTGCGGAACCTGTGCTGTGCTCGTTATTTACAGGCACACCGGTAGGGTACACAGGCATACACGTGCACCCCCCACCACCATACACACACACCAGCTTAGCATGTTCTCCGCACAGCTCTCTGAGGTGGGCGTTGGGAGAAGGGTCTTATCTAAGGACTTACAGCTCATGAGCGCCACAGGCAAGACTTGAATGCAATGCTGGGCCTTCTGTTTCCAGAGCCCTAGTTGTCCTTTGCCTTTTTTTTCCCCCCTCCAAGGCCAGGGTGCTAGCCATAAGGCTCCATGGTTAGTCAAGCCACCTGCCTCTGACGGGCCAGCGAGCTCAGAATGTGAGTGTACAGTCAGCTGATTCTGAGGCCAAGAAGGCTCTTTCCTCACCAGGGCCAGAAAAATCTCAGGGGGCCAGTACCCGGCTGCAGCCCATTTCAGTAAAGTTTTGTTAGAAACCAGCCACTTTCCGGCCGGCAAGTGCTTAGAAGTGCTAAATGATCCCTTATTGAGAATGTGTGCCGCTTCTTCCATGATGCTCTGCCTGAGTGCTTACGAAACTCGCCAGGAGCCAGGTGCCCCCACGGCCAAGAAGCACCGCGCACCTCCACCTGCACGGGAAGCCTTGGGTTCAGTCCAGGTTCTGAGGTGGTCCAGGCCTCCCTCTTCACAGCCTCCAGCCTGCGGTTAGAGAGAAGCTGAATTTCAAGGACACGAGGGTCCAGGCTGCACACCGACTGGCCTGACAGTGTCCACCTCTCACGTGGCTCCACTCACTCCCTCTGCACAGCACGGGGCCTCCCCCAGGAGAACATGGTCCGCTGGCGTCTAACGGAGGGCGCGGGAGATTCCTGACGGCTCTGACCTCTGGGTGACCTCTGTGTGATGAGCATTTCTAGCTCACAGTCTGCTCTGCGTCAGGGTCTGACTCCAGATGGTCAGGAGGTCGCAGGCCACGGTCTCACCCGGATTCTTCTAATGTCTCTCCAATGGGAATGACCTAGGTTGAAAGCAGAAGAGGTGCAGCGTGGCTACGGCCCTGGGGGTGATGGCGACCAGGTGTGCATGGATCTGGGAGGCGGTGACTAGAACATGAACATTCGCTAGCCAAGCCATTAAGAGCATAGAGTCCTGGGTCTGTGGGGGCTCAAATATTAGGTCTGTGACATCTTTGCCAGGTGAACTTGGGAAAGTTACTTAACCTGGGCCTGCTTCCTTCTACACTGAAGTACACAAATGGCTGGTGGAGCATCCCTAATCCAAAACATCTGAAATCCTCAAATGCTCCAGAATCTGAAATTTGAGCATCAGCATGATGCTGAAAGAGAATTTCACACCTGGCCTCGTGTGACGGGTTGCAGTCACAATGCAGGTGGCACAATTCACTCAGCATCCCCGTGGGGGACAAAGACCTCAGCTCCTTCAGCTGAGATACATGAACCTTGTTTCATGCACAAAATAATTCAAAATATTATATAAAATTGCCATCAGGCTATGCATAAGTTGTATATGAAATGAATAAATGTCATGTTTAGATACAGATCTCATCACCCCAGATGTCTCATTATGTATATGCAGACAGTCCCAAATTCAAAGACATCCAAACTCTAGTGCCTCTGGTCCCGTGCATTTCAGATACGGGAACCTGCTACAGTGTTGTCTGAGGACTAAATGCTGCGTCCAGGACCTCCCAGGACCTGACAAGCGCTGTCAGGGGCACCAGCCGCCCACTACAAGGTTACCACGTGAAGCAGTCGCACACTAAGGTGTGCACAGAAGTCCCTCAGCATGGTGCCGGCACGTGGTGCAGTGGGTTACGGTGCCAGCTGCTCTGCTTCCGATCCGGCTCTGCCCATGTGCCTAGGAAAGCAGCAGAAGATGGCCCAAGTTCTAGGGCCCCTGCCGTGCGTGTGGGAAACCCAGAAGGAACTCTGGATTCCCGGCCATTGCAGCCATTGGGGAGTAAGCCAGCAGAAAGAAGGTCTCTCTCTCTCTGCCACTCAAACTTTCAAATATAATAAAATAAATATTTTAAAGAAATCCCTCAGGAGACTTAATAGTGTAAATTTTCAGACCCTAACTCCCAGAGACCAAATCGGTAGCCATGTAATGGGCACGGGCATGAGAATCTTCAGTTTAAAACAGTTCGTGCACACACACACTCTATCCCCTCCAACTGATCCAGATGCAGGCAAACCACAGGACAGATTTTGAAAAATACTTCACCAGAAAACCCACTGAGGTATAGAAATCTGATTATAGCTTTTGCTTGTTTTTGCTTTTGAAGCAATAGACCAAAGTCCTAGAATCAACCTAAATGTTCCATGGGGAATAATTAAATACATGGTGATAGAGCAATCTATTCAAATTATGGTATCAGAACTAAATCAAACCAACATGGAAAATAGTTTTATGCAAAGTATACATCAAATAATGTTTTAAAAAAACCAAAATTCATTGTAATTCTAACTGTTGTAAAACCTATTTTTTTAAAAGATTTTATTTATTGTGACTGGCGCTGTGGCTTAGTGGGTGAAGCCACCACCTACAGTGCCAGCATCCAATATGGAAGCCGGTTCAAGTCCTGGCTGCTCCATTTCTGATCCAGCTCTTTGCTGTGGCCTGGGAAAGCAGTAGAAGATGGCTCAAATCCTTGGGGCCCTGCACCCATGTAGGAGACCCTAGAAGACACTCTTGGCTCCTGGCTTCAGATCAGCCCAGCTCTGGCCACTGCAGCCATCTGGGGAGTGAACCAGTGGATGGAAGATCGATCGATTGATCTCTCTCTCTCTCTCTCTCTTTCTCTCTCTCTCACTCTGCCTCTACCTCTCTATAACTCTGCCTTTCAAATAAAATAAATAAATATTTTGGAAAAAAAAGTTTATTTGGGGCTGGCACCACTGCACAGGTTAATCCTCCGCCTGTGGTGCCAGCAACCCATATGGGCTCCAGTTCTAGTGCCGGCTGCTCCTCTTCCAACCCAGTTCTCTGGTGTGGCCTGGGAAAGCAGTGGAAGATGGCCCAAATCCTTGGGCTCCTGCACCCATGTGGGAGACCAGGAAGAAGCGCCTGGCTCCTGGCTTCAGATCGGCTTAGCTCCAGCCGTTGCAGTCATTTGGGGGGTGAACCAACAGAAGGAAGACCTTTCTCTATCTCTCCCTCTCACTGTCTGTAACTCTACCTCTCAAATAAATAAAATCTTAAAAAAAAAAAAGTTTGACAGGCAGAGTTAAAGTTAGTGAGAAGGAGGCACAGAGAGTGAGGTCTTCCATCCACTGGTTCACTCCCCAATTGGCTACAACGGCTGGAGCTGGGCTGATCCAAGGCCAGGAGCCAGGAGCTTCTTTTAGGTCTCCACATGGGTGCAGGGGCCCAAGGACTTGGGCCATCTTCCACTGCTTTCCCAGGCCATAGCAGAGAGCCAGATCAGCAAAGGAGCATCTGGGACTTCAACCAAGACCCATATGGGATGCCGGCACTGCAGGTGGAGGATTAACCTACTGCACATCAGCGCCAGCCCCTGTAAAAGCTATGTTTAAAAGCAACTGTGGTGACTACGTACTCAGTCCTCTGCCTCTCTGCTGAGCTGCCCGCCTGGCCTGCCCAGGTGTACTCTCTCCATTCAACCACGTAATCTCGCTCTCCCCCAGTCCGAGTGACTGGGCACTCTCTATCTGTCCCTACTGTTCTGACATATGTCCTAGCCCCAGTAAAGCCTTATCACTTCGCAAAAAAAAAAAAGTGACCGTGGTTTGAAAGAGGCCAACAAAGGCTTCAAAAGGTTTTTTGTTTTTGTTTTTTGTTTTTTGTTTTTTTGTTTTGACAGGCAGAGTGGACAGTGAGAGAGTGAGACAGAAAGGTCTTCCTTTTGCCGTTGGTTCACCCTCTCAAAAGCTCTTCCTTTTGCCGTTGGTTCACCCTCCAATGGCTGCCGTGGCCGGCACACTGCGGCTGGCGCACCGCACTGATCCGAAGCCAGGAGCCAGGTGCTTCTCCTGGTCTCCCATGGGGTGCAGGGCCCAAGCACTTGGGCCATCCTCCACTGCACTCCCGGGCCACAGCAGAGAGCTGGACGGGAAGAGGGGCAACTGGGACAGAATCCAGAGCCCCGACCGGGACTAGAACCCGGTGTGCCAGTGCTGCAAGGCGGAGGATTAGCTTATTGAGCCACGGTGCCGGCCTTGAAAAGGTTTTAAGTTAAAGCAGTGCCGGAGCTCACCAGACAGCTGGAGCTGCGCCCTGAAACTTCAGCCACAGGCAGCTAGGGCCAAGTCACTGGGAGATGGGAGTCGGGGCGCCCGGGCAGCCGCCAGCCAGCAGATGCGGGCTTTCAGGGATCAGTCGCCAGCTGTGTCTCACCTGCTCTTATGCTCTCGTGGGATGCAACAACGGGAGGTTTCACTGTAATATTTTTCTATACTTCTTGCATTGTTTCAATATGGTCATTGGCAGGGTAGCTTCTTGATCATCTCAAAACACACTCTGGGGGGAATGGCCTTGGTCTGAAAAGGCAAACACCCTGGGTGCAGGCAGAGCTGTCCCAACCAGCCCAGCACTTAAGACTACTTCACTGCAAAAAATAAAATAAAATAAAATAAAATAAAATAAAATAAAATAAAATAAAATAAAATAAATAAATAAGTAAAAGCAGAGAGCCTGGGGGTGGAGCAGGGGTCATCACTCCCATTCAGCCCGCATTCTTCTGCTCTGATTCATGTTGGCCTGTCTTCACTCCAGTGTCCTGAGTGACCCCACACCATGGCCAGCACTTTGTTTCTGCCTCCTTGCCTTATCCGTTCTTACAGCCGTGCGAGGACGCACAAGGCTGGTAGAACTGAGGTTTTTCAGACACATAAAGAGGTGTCTTTCTCCATCCCCAGTGTATCCGGTGGCCTCTTCTTGGTACATCTCTGAATTTCACGCCGTGAACAATGTTCTCAAGCCCTTGGTTATGACTCAGCACTGCTGCAAAGAGGCTCAATGATTACTGCAGGAGAGGGAGGGCTGGGTGGAGCCCTGGGATCCAGGCCAGGGCACATGTTCCTCCTCTACAGGGCAGTGCTAGGCAGACACACTGGATCATCTGCAGCATCCCTTTCTGTGTCCACCCTGTGCAGTTTGTTTAGTTTTTCAGATGGAAGCAATCAATTGAATCTGTCACACAAATCATCTCTGACTTTCAGGACTAATCTTCAACCAAAAAGCTAACTGTCCTCTGCAAACATTTTCTTCTGCAGATACACCTTATATGCAGGTGCATACAATGGGCGCAAAGCTTCCTTAAGATTACTTTACTGGGGGCTGGCGCTGTGGCATAGCGGGTAAAGCTGACACCTGCAGTGCTGACATCCCATATGGGCACCCGTTCAAGTCCCGGCTGCTCCACTTCCGATCCAGCTCTCTGCTATGGCCTGGGAAAGCAGTAGAAGATGGCCCAAGTCCTTGGGCCCCTGCACCCACATGGGAAGACCTGGAGGAAGCTCCTGGCTTCATATCGGTGCAGCTCCAGCCATTGCAGCCAATTGGGGAGTGAACCAGTGGATGGGAGACCTCTCTCTCTGCCTCTCCTTCTCTATGTAACTCTTTCAAATAAACAAATAAATCTTTAAAAAATTATCTTACTGATATAATTCACATACCATAAAATTCACTTTACAGATACAATTTGATAGGTTTTAGTATATTCACAGAATTGTGCAACCATGTCTGTTATCTAAATACAAACCATTTTCATCACCCGGTACAAAGCCCTGTACCCAGTACAGTCATTTCTCCCCGGCAGTGACTAATCCACTTATTACTCCCATGCATTCACCTATTCTAGATATTTCATTGAAAAAACAGAATCACAGGGGTGTGCTTGGCGCAGTGGTTAAGATTAAGCTTGGCAGGGCCAGCACTGGGGTGCAGTGGGTTACAGCTGCAGCCTGTAGTGCTGGCATCCCACATGGGTGCCAATTCAGGTCCTGGCTGATCCACTTCCAATCCAGCTCCCTGCTGATGTGCCTGGGAAAGCAGTGGAGGATGGTCCAGGTGTTTGGGCCACTGCACCCACATGGGAGACCCGCAGGAAGCTCCTGGCTCCCGGTTTTGGATCAGCTCAGCTCCAGCCATTGTAGCATTTAGGAAGTAAATCAGTGGATGGAAGACCTGTTTCTATCTCTACCTCTCTCTATAGCTCTTTAAAATAAATCATTTAAAAAAAAAAGCTTAAGCTTGGAATACCCACATTCCCTATCCATGTGCTGGGCTGGAGTCCCAGCTGTCCTCCCATGTGCAGCCTCTTACTAATGCATACCCTGGAAGGCAGCAACTCAGTGGAGTCCCTAGGGAGACCTAGACTGACTCCCCAGCTCCTGGCTTAAATCCAGCCCAGCCCTGGCTGTTGTGGGCATTTGGGGAAATGAACCAGAAGTTGGAAGATACCTTTTGTCTCTATCTCTGTCTGCATCTCAAATAAATAATAAAACATTTTTAATGTGGCCTTTTGTGTCTGGCTTCTTTCACCTTAGCTAACAGTGTTTTCCAGTTCCCTCCATGCTGTAGCATACAGCAGTATATCATTCATTTTTCATGGCTGAGTAATACTCCATCGCATAAATACACCACGTTCGGCTTATGTATTCACCAGTTAGATGGCTGTATTGTTTCCATCCTGGAGCTATCACCAATCGTGCAGCTATTAACATCAGAAATTATGCTCAGAAATTCCCACCTGGGACACGATGGAGAAGGGAATTGTCCCCCCCACCGCGCACAGCTGGGGTGCGGGAAACTGCCCCAGGGGGAGACCAAGAGCAGGGCAGAACCTGCAAGGCAGGGTTGAGAGCAGGTGGCCTCCTCCTTACCACAGAGGCGTCTGGTGATACATACTTGAAAATCATCCTCTTGACTTGTGCCTTCACTTCCTGTCGTGTGGGAAATGCATCCAAGGGGAATTCCAGATGAGGGGCAGAACCAAACTGCATTGCTCCCACTCGGACCTGCAGCACGAGACGGGCCCAGCGGCCCAAGACCAGGTCAAGCCAAAGACATTTCCAAGAGGAAAGGAAGAAGGAGAAAGTTCCGGACCCTTCCGCCCTCTCGCGCAACAAGTAACCGTGCCAGGCTTCCTCCGATCGAGCACAGACCCGTGGAAGACTCTGGGAGGCATCGGTCCCGCTGCTGTGTTCTACTCCAACAACCCCAGTCCGATCTTTTTGGCCCATTGCTCCAAGGCAGCTCAGGCAGGTTCCTCAGCCGGGCTGTGACATCGTCAGGGCAAGGGGCTCTGCTCACACCCACCCACTGCCTCCCTGGAGCTCTCGAGGGCAGTCCCATGCAAGAGCTCCATTAGCCTGCGCAACAACTGCTGCAGAATCTAAATATGCAAGGGATATGGCCCGGCAGAAGGCTGGGCTGGCGGAAACGGAAGCAGGCTGTAGGACACCTTGCCTGTGAGCTTCTCTAGGCTGTACATTCTCTGCTCAGTACAGGCCTGCAGCACACACTCACTCACCCTGCCGGGGGGACTGGTGCTACTCACACACTGACCACAGGCGACTGGCTCACCACTCACTCACTATAGCTGCCACCACCGTGACTCACCCTGACCACAGCCCCCACCACTGTACTCACCCTGACCACAGCCCCCACCACCATGACTCACTCCAACCACAGCCCCCACCACCGTGACTCACCCTGACCACAGCCCCCACCACTGTACTCACCCTGACCACAGCCCCCCCACTGTACTCACCCTGACCACAGCCCCCACCACCGTGACTCACCCTGACCACAGCCCCCACCACCATGACTCACCCTGACCACAGCCCCCACCACTGTACTCACCCTGACCACAGCCCCCACCACTGTACTCACCCTGACCACAGCCCCCACCACCGTGACTCACTCCTGACCACAGCGCCCACCACCATGACTCACCCTGACCACAGCCCCCACCACTGTACTCACCCTGACCACAGCCCCCACCACCATGACTCACCCTGACCACAGCCCCCACCACTGTACTCACCCTGACCACAGCCCCCCCCACTGTACTCACCCTGACCACAGCCCCCACCACCGTGACTCACTCCTGACCACAGCGCCCACCACCATGACTCACCCTGACCACAGCCCCCACCACTGTACTCACCCTGACCACAGCCCCCACCACCATGACTCACCCTGACCACAGCCCCCACCACCGTGACTCACCCCTGACCACAGCCCCCACCACCGTGATTCTCCCCTGACCACAGCCCCCACCACCATGATTCACCCTGACCACAGCCCCCACCACCATGATTCACCCTGACCACAGCCCCCACCACCGTGACTCACCCCTAACCACAGCCACAATACTGATGACTAATGCCTTACCACAGCCACAATAACTGCTGACTCACCCCTGACCACAGCCACAATAACTGCTGACTCACCCCTGACCACAGCCACAATAACTGACGACTCACCTCGACCACACCGCCATCACGGTGACTCAGCTGTTGAGTGGTCACCCCTTTTGGGCTGCTCTTGCCCTGCTGGGGAAAGGCCAGGTTCCCAGACTAGAGTCAGAGTGGGGACATCAGCACCCAAAACTAAGAAGCGATCCTGGAGCTGGTTTTTCTCTGTAGCAGGGAGGGACAGCACTGCTGACTCCAAACTGATTTTTTAATGCATCGAGGAGGTCAGAGGAGAAAATCCAACGCCTTATAAAACTGGAGACGGGACGGGAAAATGAGTGAAGTGATTGCATGGGCTCTTAAGCTACTATTGGCTTGAGCAGACACAGCCATAAGCATTGCAGTTTCCTCCGGGGATCCAAGCCCTGCACCTGATCCTCGATTCTCCACAATTCCTGGAGAAACCATCTCAGTTACCATCCTCATTGCCAACCCCAGTTCCTGCCAAGCGTTCAGATTTCCGTGGTGACGCTGCCTTGTGCTGCCTGCCCTGAAATCCTGCACTGCAGTCTCTTAAGAGGCCTGAAGCTGGGGAGACAATGAAAGCGCCGGCCACACCTGCTCCGGAGGGGCTCAGCTTGTGGGCCTCGTCTCCTCCAGGCAGGAAGATCTCACAACGGGAAGATCTGCTGGGCGCGGGAAGTAGGAAGATATTTAAGTCTTGGATAGGCACGTGCAGGAGCTGGATACCAGTAGACAAACTCAAGGAAGTTTCTGGGAAGGAAGTCTTCTGAGATCCCCCCTGAACTTACATGAAGAGAGAATATCCCAAACCAGTGAGGGAAAGATGGCCCAGTCAGCAAATGATGTTGGGACAACTGGACAGCCATCTACAAAAAACAAAGGATATGGGGCTGGCGCTGTGGTGTAGAAGGTTAAGCCTCCGCCTGCAGGGCTGGCATCCCATATGGGCACCAGTTCAAATCCCAGCTGCTCCACTTCCAATCCAGCTCCCTGCTAATGAGCCTGGGAAAGCAACAGCAATGGTCCAAGTGCTTAGGCCCTTGTACCCATGTGGGAGACCTGGCAGTTCCTGGCTCCTGGCCTTAGCCTGGTCCAGCCCTGGCAAATGTAGCCATTTGGGGAATGAACTAGTGGGAAGATCTCTCTCCCTCTCACTTCTCCCTGTATCCCTGCCTTTCAAATAGTCTTCCAAAATAAAAAATGGGGTGGGCACTTGGTGCTAGGATTGAGGCACAGCTCAGGATGCCAGAATCTCGTATCAGAGTGCCTGGGATTAAGTCCCAGGTCCTCTTGATTCCAAGCTTCCTGTTCATGTGCACCATAGGAGGCAGCTGATGGATCAACCACTGGAGTGCCTGCCACCCAAGTAGGAGACCTGGACTGCTCCTGGCTTTAGCCTGGCCCAGCCCAAGCTGTTACAGGCATTTCAGGAATTAAACCACAAATGAGAGATCTGTCTCTCTGCCTTTCAAATAAAGAAAATAAATTATAAATTTTTTAAAAAATAAACTGAAAAGTGTACCCAAGATTTAAATGTAAAAAACCTAATCATGAAAATTCTAAGCCAACTCTTGAGAAATTGTTTTACCTTCAGAGTGGAAAAAGAAAAGTTCAAAAGATTTAAAATCCAAAAGCCATAAAGGAAAGATGGATAAATCTGACCACATGGGAGGGGGGGGACAACTTCTGCAGGACCAAGCACGCCTTAACACAATCAAAAATGAAGCCAAACTGGACAAAGTATTTACAGCTCATGTTTCCTAGGTATCAATATGCAGAAGACCGGGGATCCAACAGGAATTAGGCAAAGGCCATGAGCAGGATCACAATAGGACTTGCAGATGGATGGAGATACTGGTTCCTGGCTTTGGCCGGATCCTGCCCTGACTGTTGTGGGCATTTGGGGAGTGAACCAGAAGACAGATCTCTTTCTCTCTTTCCCTCTCTGTTGCTCTGCCTTTCAAATAAATAAATAATAAATAAATCTTAAAATGCATAGAGCCACCGAGAATTTATCCTACAGATATACTCCCAGAAACATAAAATGACCTGTTTACCAGGTCAGAGTCCATTTGCAATAGCAGTTAATTAGAACGTGGTAAATCCTTATGCTGGAAAATTAATTAGCTATAAAAATAGATACTTATATACAGAGATGGAAAGAGTTCTAAGATAACATGAAGAGGCAAAGGCAAGAGATGAATGACACATACAGTAGGGCCCCTTTGCATGGTGGTGGGGGGAGGAGATGACACATTTATCCCACGTATATGTGCATGAAGTGATTCTGGGAGGGTACTGAAGCAAACAGGCAGGGCTTTGGGAAAGGGGGAGAATGCGTGGGTGGGAAGAACACTTTCCACTGTGTATCTCTATTGAGCCATCTGAATGAATTACTAGGTTGCGCACCAATACCAACAGCTCCCTAGAGAGGATCAGCTGGGTCTGTGGACTGGGGTTAAACAGGAAGGAAGCAACTTCAAAACAAAACACCAAGGAAACAGCTTAAATCAGTAGTTAAGGCATTTCATTTAATTGGTGGTTTGCCAGCGACATAGTTGCCTTTTATCTTCCCTCTACCCTGGGCTCAGAAGCCAGCCAGCCGGTTTCTCCCTGCACTGTAATCACTCCTGTGTGCATCGGAGTCAGGAAGCCAAGTCTGCAGCTTGTAAGAGTCCAAAGGAAGACTTCAAACACCTTAAATCCAACTCTGCAGCAGGGCATCCACACAGAGCCTTCATTTACAGCCACGTGACAATTTCTCCCTGAAAACTAAAGGCATCAAGGTGCCATCAAATCCCTTGGACACAACACAAAGCAGACGCAGAAACACAGATGCAAAAACACGCACTCTGAAGCACCGATTGGCTGAATCCTCTGAAACGGCCCCAGTGCCCACGGTCTAGGCACCTGGGACAAAGGTCGCAACGCTCGCTTGCTCACCCACATAGCCACCCAATTCCTTTGCTCCCCAAATCTAGCTGTGAGAAAGTTTCTTCCTGAGGTTAAGCCCAGATCTAACTGCCTGAATGCCAAGAAGTAATTCTGCCCTCTTAAAGAAACAGCCATTCTGGGGGCTGGCGTTGTGGCAAAGCGGGTTAAGTCGGCATTGCAGGTGTCCCAGGTGAGTACCTGTTCAGTCCCAGCTGCTCCACTTCCAATCCAGCTCCTTGCTAACGTGCCTCGGAAAGCAGTAAGCCATGGCCCAAGTGCATGGGCCCCTACATGCACATGAGAGACCAGGATGCAGTTCCAGGGTCCTAGTTCAGCCTGACCTAGCCCCAGCCATTGTGGCCATCAGGGGAGTCAACCAGTAGACAGAAGATCTCTTTGCCATTCAGATAAATTCAAAACAAAACAAAACAAAACAACAGAGCAGCAATTCTGTACCCCCTTTCACATGAAAATGTAATCAGGTTCCCTCACAGGTGGAAGTCTCCACGCCTCTCACTGTCCTTGTCCTAAGCAGGGTCTGCTTGGCCAGTCCCTGAAAATCAGCACAGGCACTCAATGCCACAGCCCAGACGTGATCCGCCAATGCTGCGGCTAAACTCCATGACTTCTGAGGGTCTTTCCCCACAGCCCCAGCCGTGAAGTTTCTTGGCGTGGTTTTCCTACCCTTCCCTCACCACACACACTGCCACACTGCCGGCTGTCCATTTGCTATGTTGAAGAACCTTAAAAATCAAACCAAGATGGAGTGACTTAAGCTAACACTATTAAAAACAAGAAGTCACCTTTGCCCCAAATGAAATTAAAGTTTAAAAATTATAGCCCTAAACTTTTTCCCCCAAAGCTAAAATTAGGTGCAGCTATAAAAATAAGGGACCCTATGCTTAGCTAGCTGTGACACTTGTGCCTGGCTGTGCTAAGACCTAACCCAGTTTGTATGCCTCCTAATACTCAAATAACGGTGTGGGAAGCGGGACGCTGCTCTCCCTCCAGGGGAATGAAGGGAGCAAGATGTCGTCCCCCTCAGGGTGAACAAGATGATGCTGACAGGGGAAGGAACTGCTAAAGAAGTAAACAACAAAATGGTGACGAGGTGCATGCCTCCCATGTGATCCCGTAGCTGATTGGATAGAAGACGCATGCCTTTCACATGACCAGCTCACGGATTGGACTGCTGTGTGCATGGACACTATAGTGCTTTTGATTGGTTGCTGCGGGTATATAAACCGTGTGGCTTTGTGCTGGGGGCGCTCTCTAGACTCCCGAGTTCAGGAGGCCCGTCTGTGCATATGCCGAATAAATCCTCTTGCTTTTGCATCAGCTGGTCTGGACTCTGAGTCTTTGGGGTGTGCCTCTCGGCATGTTAGCTTCCTCACTCAGAGGGTCTAACAGTGTGATAGCCCAGTCTCATCACCTCATCCTAATCCAGAGGCCACCTGCTGGGAGACAAAAGGTCCAATGGAGCCAGTCTTGGGCTGAGAGTCAAAGGCCTCAGTCCTTGTACCCGTAGCCTTCTCCCGAGATTGCTCAGTGACCCTGGGCAGTCACTTTAGCCCCTGTGGGTCCATTTCCTCATCCCCAAGACAGGCACTAACCATCCACACAGCTCTTCTCTGCCAGCTTGCCACCCTCAGGGGACTCCCAGCCACTCCAGGACACGCTACATCAATGCCAAAGCCAGCGGTGTCTGATCTTCACACCACTTCCTTCTGTGTAGGACTAGGGAAACTCCACGGGGACAGGAGGGGTCTGTGCGGAGGGGGCAGAAACTTGGCATCACAAGCACAACTGATGGGCAGCTTGGGCCCAGACTGAATGGTATCAGCCACGGTGACTGCAGGTGACCACCCAAGGCTGCTCGAGGCCCGGGACAAGGTGTTTCTGCTCCTCCAAATGACACGCCCTTCCTGAGAACACCTGGCTCTCGTTAAAAGCCACATTTGCTCCTAAACCCTAGGTTTACCAGCCTTCCCCCAGGAATGTCATCTTGGAAAACCACTTCCTGCCTCGGCCTGTAGGTGCCTAGCCTCTAATTCAAGTAACTACTGCTTCCCAGACCAAAGTGCTCTTCTTAATTCTTAATTTGGTTTTTGAGGAGGTTCACAAGGCTGGAAACCTAGAGTATGAAAACGTCTCTATCAAAGAGTCTCCCCTTGGACTTGGGTCTTGTCTGCTCAGTTCCCAGCCTCCTTGTCAGTGGGAAGCCACTGACAAATCCCTCTGTTTGCATAAAGAGACGAGCACAAGTAGACTTCTGTCCATGTTCCTTTACATAAAAGCTGCATCTCCTGCATGCCACGTACACCTGCCGCTTTGCACTTCACGTGTTCTGGCATCTTTGCATGAGAGTTTCCTCACTCAGTGTTCACCTTGGGAATACCCGTCGTGGACTGACCTCTCATCCGTCAACGGGCACTTGGGCAGCTTGAAATCTTGCACAACTACAAATAATGCTGCAGTTGGTAACTCTGTACAGACGGGAGTATCTGTAGAGTAAGTTCCCAGCAGTGGAGCAGCCAGGTCTAGAGACCCGAGCCTCTGTAATTCTCACAGATGCTGGTGGACTGCTCCCACAGGTCTGCGATGGTTTGCACCCCCACCCCACCGGCAGTGCATGAGAACACCAGTCTCCTGCAGATGTGCCCAGGCAGTGTGCCACCCAGCTCTGAACGTTGGCTGAGCCAGCAGGTGAGACGGTACGGTCAGGTGGAGATCTGCTACCACCTCGAGTGGCACTGGGCACCATCACGTGCCTGAGGGACATCTGCCTTCTCTGCCTGCTTTTCTACGGGGTTGTTTCAACATGTCCCTTTTAGAAACACACACCTCGGCTACTGCACTGCTGGTGTTCAAAACGCGCTCCGAGGGTACTTCAAGAAGTGTGTGAAAAAACCGAAGTCGAAGTTTGCTTTGATGCAAAAAAAACCTGAAATCCCCGTGTAGCTCTCTCCTAGTACACGTTTCGCACCACCTTTCTGAGGTCCTTTCAGATCTGAAGCCAGGAAGACGCTGGCTGGACACACGGAGGCAGTAGTTCCTCTCACGTGCACTGAGCAGCTGGGAGCTGAGCTCCCTGCTAAGGCTCCAGGCTGCTGCGGGCCTTCCACGTGGGGTCTGTGCAGTGGGCTCACCCTGTCCCCTGGTTCTGCACAGACCACTTCTCATCCTGGTGGGAAACCAAACCCATGTGTTCACTCCCAGCCCTACAACGTGGATGAGCAGTGACTCAGGCCAGCCATACTCTCTTCCCTCTGACTGCTGGGATTGGGCAATGCATTATCATGTGACCCAAGCCTGCCAATCAGAGCCTTCCCTGGGACTTTTGTTAGCTCTACAAGGAAAGAAGCCTACTCTCTCTTTTTCTGGAGTCAGCGGCTTGAAGGACAACGCAAAGCAACTTTGCTTTGTGAGGAAAACCTACGTGGGAAGGAAGGAAAGCAAAACAGAAAAAGAGAAGCGAGGAATGCCTGGCAGCCTTGACTGGGCCCTGGACCCCACCACGCCTGGAACCAGGATTCACACTCTTGGTCTTCCCAGTCCCACAGGCCAGTGAGTGCTGGCTGCTGCTTAAGACCGACTTTCTGTCACCTGCAACCAAACAAGCCCAAGTACAAAGACCCCCACTCACCCTCTCTTGGCTGATGTCCAGGGCGTCACAGACTGTGATGGCAAAGCGCTTGGACCTCTCAAAGCTTGCCTTCCCGACGCTGTGAGAGCCATCTAACAGAAACAGGATGTCCATTGCAGCCGAGCAGCGCATCACTGGGGAGAGCAGGACAGACGGTGACAACCAGCTTCCGCCAGTGAGTGGGGAAGTGCCCTTGCTGCGGGCTGGGCTGCTGCTGCTCTCAGCACGACAGGGGAAAGGCAACACCACGGGAGGCTGGGGCCACGGGCGGGGGCGGCCGTCCTCTGCAGTAGGAAGCACACACCCAGTGGTATGATGCTCGCAAACAGGCCCTCACACCAAAGTCTTTCTATTTGTGGAAGAACCTAGTTCCACCACACGAACAGAGATCCGTGGGGATACCCAAGGGAGGGACACTAAGAGCCTTGGCGCCAGCCCTCAAGGGGCCACACTCTAGCCCGGCACCCTGCTATGAGACCACGTTACCCAGAAGCCCAAGTAGCAATAGCAACAGCCCAGCATTGCCTGTGCCTTCCCTGTAGGCCAGCAGGTGCTGACAACACAGATGCACAAACTGATTCCATTCTCACAACCACCCTGAGACACATCGCTGTTTCTTCAGTGTCTGAAAGTTTTATTGAGCGATCGCTCACATAGCACACAACTCACCCACTTAAAGTACAGGTTCAGTGATCTTTAATACGGGTTGAGCATCCCTTTTCCAAAATGCTTGGGACCACAAATGTTCTGGATTTCAGATTTTTTCAGTCTGGAATATCTGCATAGCCATAAGGAGATATCTTGCGGGTGGCTCTCATGTCTCAACATGAGATTCATTTCTCTTTGACACACACATAGTCAGAAGGTAATTGTATACAGTAGGTTCAGCATATCTGCATTCTGACCCATTACATCAGGTCATGTGTGCAACTGCCACTGTGCATCCTGTTAGCACTCAAACATTTCCCATCTTGAAGATTTCGGATTTCAGATAGGAGATGCTGAACCGCATAAGCACAGATACAGCCCTTCACTGTAGTTTGTCTTAGAACATTCTCTATCATCTCTGAAGAAATTCGGTATCTTTTAGCACTTAGCCACCAACTGCCCACTGCCACACCAAGCAGAGTCACTGCTTCTACTCCCTTTGCAGAGATGAGGAAGGCAGAGCAACAGGAAACTCATTAACTTTCCCAAGGCCAAGGTCCCCGTAAATGGTGAAGCAGGGAACCAAGCCCAGGTGTCTGGCTCCCCCCAACCACACACAGGGGGTGCTAGGGAGAGGAGTCAGAGAAGCACCACCCAGAAGGCAGCCTTGGAGCCGGAAAGGGGAGGGCGGGGAGGGCGGGCCGGGGGAAGGTGCTGGAGTGGCTGGGCCACGTGCAGGAGACACCTACTGGGGTGGGAGAAGAAGAAATGAGACCGGCTACAAGGGCGACTGGGTGGACAGCAGTCAGGTGACAGAAGACTGGGTGGGGCAGGCCAGGAGATACAACAATGAAGACCTGCTCAATTTCCTTTTAGATCAAGGGGAATGACTTCCACCCAGGGCATGACATGAGGGCTGGAACGGGGCAGAGACCCTGGGAGGGACGAGGCCTCTCTTGGGTCCGTCACACAGACGCTGTGTGGACAGGTGCTGGGATTGCCGAGTAAGACCTGGGCTTACTTTTGCTGGCTGCTGAAATCTTCCCGATGGTCTCCCTGCTCACGTGCATTTCCTGAAGAGGGTGGGCGGGGGGCACTAGGAGAGAACACACAAGAGGTGGTCATTCCAAGGCTGACGGGGGAGGAGACCGGAATGAACAGGTAACAGGACCGGAAACAGGTAAGGAGTCCAGTGACATCTGTACCTCAAAAATGACCCTGTGGAAGCACAAAGAAACACCCCAAGTGCCCCATTTCCAGGGGGTATCTCTCTATTTAAACTTGGGTATCTTGTAGAGAAAGATTTAAAAAAAATAGAGGGGCCAGTACTGTGGTACAGTGGGTTAAGTGTACCCAGTTAAGCCACCCATATGGGAGCACTGGTTCAAGTCCCAGCTGCTCCACTTCCCAACTCCCTGCCAATAAGCCTGGGAAGGCAGCAGAGGATGGCCCAAGTACAGAGTTCTTGGCTCCCAGGTTCAGCCTTGCCCAGCCCTGGCTGTTGCAGCCATCGGGAGAGTGAACCAGAGATGGAAGCTCACTCACTCACTCTTGCTCCCAGTTGCTCTTTCAAATAATCTTTTTGTAAAAGTACACACAGAGGAGCTAGAGAGAGAGAGACTTTCATCCCAGGTTGGGTATGTATGTCCCCCTCTAGGGGTGGCACCCTCTACTATCTCTGGGTTTATCCTTGGAAGTCCCTGAACCATGCCAGACCCCTCAGGCAATGCATTCTTGCTGCAAGAATTAACCTTGGACGTGAACAGCCAGCCACTTGGTAGAAGAACAGATCCAAAGAGAAGCATGGGGACAATGCTCTAATGGGTAACAAAGTGCTTTTTATTATTTTTTTGACAGGCAGAGTGGACAGTGAGAGAGAGAGAGAGACAGAGAGAAAGGTCCTCCTTTTCCGTTGGTTCACCTCCAATGGCCGCCGCAGCCAGCGCACCGCGCTGATCCGAAGCAGGAGCCAGGTGCTTCTCCTGGTCTCCCATGGGGTGCAGGGCCCAAGCACTTCAGCCATCCTCCACTGTACTCCTGGGCCACAGCAGAGAGCTGGCCTGGAAGAGGGGCAACCGGGACAGAATCTGGTGCCCGACCGGGACTAGAACCCGGGATGCCGGCGCCGCAGGACGATTAGCCTATTGAGCCGTGGCGCCGGCCTACAAAGTGCTTTAACAATGAGACACCATCTTCAATATGAAAATTAAGTGATTAAATTCTAACTGAAATGTAATTGGGGCAAAGTTAAATTGGGAAAATGTTTTTCCAGTGGTGGCACTGTAAATTATAATCCTCCTCAAAACAAAACTCAGCTGAATTAATTAAGAGTCATAAAAATACCTATACCCTTTGACCCTGTAGTACCAGACCTAGCGATTACAAGAAACTTTAGAGAACATGTGCGTTAAGGCCCTCCTCTTCAATGTTCTTTGTGCTAGAGAAATACTAGAGTTCAAGTATGCAAAGAAAATTACATGTAAATGGCTGGTGCTGTGGCTCACTTGGCTAATCCTCCGCCTGCGGCACCGGCACCCCGGGTTCTAGTCCCAGTTGGGGCGCTGGATTCTGTCCTGGTTGCTCCTCTTCCAGTCCAGCTCTCTGCTGTGGCCCAGGAGTGCAGTGGAGGATGGCCCAAGTGCTTGGGCCCTGCACCTGCATGGGAGACCAGGAGGAAACACCTGGCTCCTGGCTTCAGATCAGTGCAGCGCGCTGGCCGTAGCGGCCATTTGGGGGGTGAACCAACGGAAGGAAGACCTTTCTCTCTAACTCTGCATGTCAAAAAAAAAAATTACATGTAAGTAAATACTGACATGGTCGTTCAATGTGATTAATGTGTACAGGGCTAAAAAGTTTTCAAATAGGAAGTTTGTGGATAGACTTTTCACTCTTTTATTTTAAAAGTTATTTTAATTAATGTACTTATTTGAAAAGCAGACAGACAGGGATCTCTCATCTATTGGTTCATTTGCTAAATACCCATCACAGCCAGGGCTGGGCCAGGATGAAGCCAGGAGCCTGGAACTCAATCCAGGCCTCCCACATGGGTACCATGGGCCTGAATACTTGAGCCATCACCTGCTGCCCCCTAGGGTGCACATTAGCAGGAAGCTGGAATCAGAGCCAAGACCTGAACCCAGGCCCTCTGATACGGGATATGCGCATCCCAAGTGGTGTCTTGGGCACTATGCCCAATGGCCGCCCTGGGAGGGATATTCTGAGGAGCCAGCACCCTCTGCGACTGCACACGGGAGATGACGAGTGGCAGGCACAGCTGACGCCCAGTGATGAGGCACAGGGGAAATGAAGCCAGAGTGGCCAAGGCCCAGGAGCAGATTGGGGCAGGGGCAGACAAAGGTCATGGGCATGAGCGGCTGCTGGAGGAAAGGGGAGGGGGAGAAGGAGAGGGAGCTGGCAGGAAATGGAGGACATGCACAGCACCGGGGAGCCGGCTCATGGGTGCTGCATTCTGGGGGCCAATGCCAAGATCAACCTGATCTCCCAGCACCCCAGGACCGCCCTCCACTCACAAGGTCCCAGTGCAAACAAAAGGAGCTTCTAGTCCCCCTGCATGAACAGCAGCAGAGACTGGGGCAGAGGCATGACAGCGGTTCACAACAGGGGCTTCCTGCCTCGCTGCACTCTGACGGCACGGAGATCCTGCAAATACGTGTGCCTGTTGCAGCCCACCTCCGGGCACAGGCTGCTCCCATGGGTCCTTCAGCCCCGTCCCACCCAGAAGCTCCCAGAGGGCACAAACCCTTCCACTCTGTCCTCTGCAAAGCACAGCCCAGCTCTCTGCATGAGACACGCAGCATCGAGGCTTCCTGGGGTGAGTCCACAAACTACTGGCAGAGGGCTGAGGAGCTGAGGAGCCCCCACGAACAGGACGAGACTGTTTCATTGTCAGTGTCTTTCCAGCTGGTCCTCCAGCTGGAGACAGGCGGCCAGGGGAGCTCCGTGACCAGGGGCCACTCACTAACGATGGCCCTTGCTCACTGGGCTGAGCTGTTTCCGCAGGTGTCGGGCTTCAAGGATCCAGTCCTGAAGCTCCAGGACCCTGCAGGGGTGTCCCCGGGACAGGGCCCAGGTACCACATCATTGCTGCTGCTTCATCTCCCCAAGTCAGCAGCCTCCCATAAGCCCTACCGCCCACCTGCTGGAGCTGCAAACCTTAATCCCCGAGGGGCCACAGGTACATGGGTGGGAAGGCAGAGCTGAGGATCAAGCATCAAGGCCAACGTTTTCACTTTAGAGGTGGTGGCAGAGCTAGGGCATCCAGAGAGAGAATCTCCACGTTTGTCTCTCCTGAAAAACCCAGAGCGGCAGGGCCAGCCCGACAGCCTGGGGACCTGGGTATTCATTTCAGCTCTGCTCCCAGTACCTGGGTGACTTCAGACAAATCACAGAGCCTCACTGATCCAACCCAGGGGTGGACAGGTCAAGTGCATGTCATACCCTGGGGGACGGATTAGGGCCACAGAAGGCAAAGTTCCATGAGATGCTGGTGTAGAAACTTGACTGTGGCTGGGCCCCTGCTCCCTCCCCATTAACACACCTCACCATGCCCCTGTCCCTCGGCCACTGCATGACACTGCCCATCTGGCGGGGCTGGGAGATGGGGCAAACAGGTGGGTTCAGGAGCCAGGCTGCACCAGCAAGTCTCTACTTGCAGCTTGTCTGATCATTAAGCTCCGGGGCTCTGGGGGACAGAAAGCTGGTGACAGCAGCCAAATCAGCAAACAGTGGCCTCCCTGCTCCCGAAAACACAGATCAGGGAAGAATTGCAAGAAAGAAACCAGCGAGGCCGGAGTGCAACCCCTTGGTTGCAGAGAAGGGATTCCGAGCTAGGCTGGGCAGCTCAGTGACCCGGTGTTCTTGTTCTTACTTGTGGAACCGCCACTTGCAGACACACAGATGCCTTACTACCGACTCGTATTTCAAAGAGGCCAGAACTCAGGGGGGACAAGGTGGGAAGTAGGAAGCACTGGGTTTGTGCCACGATTCACTCATGAACCTATTATTAAGCACTGATGGCGTGCCCAGCCCCTGCGCCGGGCACAGAGATTATACAATGGTGAACTCTTGCCATGCAGAGGCTCTTCGCTCAGGGAGCTCACGTAGAGGGGAAAATGTGTAAATTCTTTATTTTTTTGGTCTTTTTTACAGGTAGAGTTATAGACAGTGAGAGAGACAGACAGACAGAAAGGTCTTCCTTCCGGCCGGCGCCGCGGCTTACTAGGCTAATCCTCCACCTTGCGGCGCCAGCCACTGGGTTCTAGTTCCGGTTGGGGCGCCGGATTCTGACCCGGTTGCCCCTCTTCCAGGCCAGCTCTCTGCTGTGGCCGGGGAGTGCAGTGGAGGATGGCCCAAGTGCTTGGGCCCTGCACCCCATGGGAGACCAAAAGAAGCACCTGGCTCCTGCCATCGGATCAGCGCGGTGCGCTGGCCGCGGCAGCCATTGGAGGGTGAACCAACGGCAAAGGAAGACCTTTCTCTCTCTCTCTGTCTACTCTGCCTGTCAAAAAAAAAAAAAAAAAAAAAAAAAGAAAGGTCTTCCTTCCGTTGGTTCATCCCCGCCCCCCAAAAGGCCACTACGGCCAGAGTTACACTGATCCGAAGCCAGGAGCCAGGTGCTTCTTCCTGGTATCCCATGCAGGTGCAGGGGCCCAAGCACTTGGGCCATCCTCCACTGCACTCCTGGGCCACAGCAGAGAGCTGGACTGGAAGAGGAGCAGCCGGGACTAGAACCCGGTGCCCATATGGGATGCCAGCGCCACAGGTGGAGGATTAACCAAGTGAGCCACAGTGCTGGCTCCAGGTGTAAATTTTCAACAGTTGACACCAAAGTGACCTCCCAGCATCTGTTTTAAACTCACATCTGCTCTGCTACACAGAGCGGAAGCAGAGGCCCTGGGAACCTGACCTGAATTGATCTGGGCGTCCCAGAGGAACTGTGCTGGGTACTCTAGGATGGGTAGGGATTTACCAGGAAGCCAGTGCTGGGACGAGGGAGTGACCCAGGCAGAGGGGCCACAGCCCTTCAGAACTCGGTCGACAGGAGGGAGCAAGGGTACAGGCAGGACCTGGAGGGGCGTGAGGCTGCCAGACAAAAGATGGAGGGGAGGGGATGGAGGGCCACAGGCTGGGGTCAGACAGGGCCTCGTCAGAACAACAGAAAGTTCTGGGTGGAGGTGGAGAGGAGTCCAGCCATGAGACAGATGTACGTTTGGAAATGGCTGCTTTGAGGGGGACCAGGTGACCCCAGGAGGCCACTGCAATGATCCAAGCACAAGAACATGTGGCTTAGATTAGGGAGATGGCCATGGAGAGGGGTGAGGCAGATGGACCCAAGACCTCCAAAAGTTAAAACAATCCAGTGGGATCGGAAGGAAACCAACCCCCAGCGTTTACCACCTCCTTCCCCCCAATCTTACCTCTGGCAAACAGGAAAACGCACGCGGCTCCCAGCAGCAGGACACGGGGCATGTTGGTACAGCTACGGGACCAGGAGAGAATTACAACATCAGCGGTTAGCTCTGTGGATGTCCCGGTCGCACTGCCAAACAGCAGGACTAGGATTCAGCCTTTTCCAGACCACAAATAGCTCTGGGGCGGGGGGGGGGGGGGGGGGGGGGGGGGGCGCTCCTCCCCATAACAACTACAGTAGCCTGGAGAAGTCATGGTTTTCCAAAACACCACGAAGTCTCCACTGCAACAACTTGGAGTTGTAAACAACAACCTAACGCCTTCCCCAGAATTCCACCCCTGCTCCTCCACAGGCTGGGCGGGGTGCTCTGCCCAGAGCCGAGGCCTGGGTCTCACCCTGCCTGGGCCCCATGGAGTCGCAGAACCCTAGGCAGAGTGACTCCCCATCTGGGCTGTCACTTCTTCAGGAGGACTTTGAAACTGACAGCTCGATGATCTGACTTTCAGTGTCCTTGTTTTCTGGAAGCTTCTAGCAAATCTGCCCAGCTAAGAAGCCAGCGTCCAAAGAGAGCCTGCACTTCTTATTTACAATCAGTAATCAGGCTGAAAAAGTTTTTTTTTTTTTTTAAGGTTTTTAAATAATGCTTCTAGCAAGAGTAAAATTCAGTTTCATGGGGCCCAATTATCAGTATGAGGTTTTTTTTTTTTTTTTAATTTTATTTATTTGAAAGACAGGGTTACAGAGAGAGGTAGAGACAGAGAGAGAGGTCTTCCATCTGCTGGTTCACTACCCAGATGGCCACAACGGCCAGAGCTGTGCCGATCTGAAGCCAGGAGCTTCTTCCAGATCTCCCATGCAGGTGCAGAGGCCCAAGGACTTGGGCCATCTTCTACTGCTTTCCCAGGACACAGCAGAGAGCTGGATCAGAAGAGGAGCAGCCGGGACTAGAACCGGCACCCATATGGGATGCCAGGGCTTCAGGCCAGGGCTTTAACCCACCGCGCCACAGCACTGGCCCCATCAGTATGAGTTTTTAAAAATTATGAAAGGTAGAGAGACAGAGAGATAGATATAGTCATGGGACAGAGATCTCCTACCCCCCGATTTACGCCCCAAATGCCTGCAACAGCCAGGACACAGCCGGCTGAAATGAGGAGTCAACAGCTTGTTCTGAGTCTCCTGAGTGGTAGGGTCCCAAACACTTGAACCATCCACTGCCACCTCCCAGAATCAGGAGCCAAGCTGGGACTTGATCCCAAGCACTGTGTCCAGGCATGAGGTGTTTCAACGATTGCGCAAACACGCGCCCCCAGCTGACTAGGTTTGAGGGGATATTAAGGGCAGAAGTGAGGCTTTTAACAAGAAATGACAGCCTGTAACTTGTATTCCATAAGGGCACATACCTGAGATCTACCTCTAGTTTTAGCTGTGACACTCAGGAAATGCACCGTTATCATTTCAGTTACAGACAGGATGCCCAATTCAGAGAGTCTTAGGCTAAGCAGGTGACCATGCAGTCCAAGAACAGAAAGGGGTCATACAGAATGAAACCGACACCTTTTCTCCCAGCATCATTTAGCAGGTAAAAACCTACAAGTATTATTAAAAGAGGTTTCAAAATTCTGCTTTGCCCTGGGGGGATCCACTATCTCCAGGATCACCCCATACAGCTGTCCCTAGATATTTTCTGGGGGATTGATTCCAGGACCCCCGGTCGATGACAAAATCTGAAGATGCTCAATCCCTTATATATAAAATGGCATAGCATTCACATGTAACTTACAGACTTTCCTGACTGTTGATGAACAACTTAATACATTATCCCTCTTAGTATTTTTTTGTTTATTTGTTCTACTTAATACTTTTGGTTGAATACTATAATCAATACACAATTCTTCTTAAGTGCTGAAACTTAACTGAAAAGTGATCGCTGTTAAATATAAGAGTGGGAATAAGAGAGGGAAGAGATGTGCAATTCGGGACATGCTCAAGCTGACTTACCTCAAATGGAAGAGTTAGAAACATACCAGGGGATTCCAATTCAATCCCATCAGGGTGGCATGTACCAATGCCATCTCACTAGTCCCAGTGATCAATTTCTGTTCACAATTGATCATAATGATAGGACTAAGAGCCAAAGGGATCACATAAACAAGACTAGTGTCTGCAAATACTAGCTGATAGAATAAAAAAGGGAGAGAACGATCCAACATGGGAAGCGAGATACACAGCAAACCCATAGAATGGCAGATGTCCTAAACAGCACTCTGGCCTCAGAATCAGCCCTTAAGGCATGCGGATCTGGCTGAAAAGCCCATGAGAGTATTTCAGGCATGGAAAGCCAAAACACTCTGGCAACAAACAAACAAACAAACAAACACCCTACATGAAAGATCTCCGCGAGTGAGATCCCAATGAAAAGAACAGGTCATCAAAGAAGGAGGTACCTTTCTCTGAAGGGAAGAGAGAACTTCCACTTTGACTACGACCTTGTCTAAATATGATCAGAGTCGGTGAACTCAAAAGGCTTCCATAGCCTTGGCAACTCATGACAAGAGCCTAGGTGATTACTGATGCCATAAACAAGAGTGTCAATTTGTTAAGTCAACCACAGGAGTCACTGTGCACTTACTCCTCAAGTAGGATCTCTGTCCTTAATGTGCTGTACATTGTGATTTAATGCTATAACTAGTACTCAAACAGTATTTTTCACTGTGTTTCTATGTGGGTGCAAACTGTTGAAATCTTTACTTAATGTATGATAAACTGATCTTCTGTATATAAAGAGAATTGAAAATGAATCTTGATGTGAATGGAAAGGGGGAGGGAGAGGGAAAGGGGAGGGTTGCGGGTGGGAGGGAAGTTATGGGGGGAAGCCATTGTAATCCATAAGCTGTACTTTGGAAATTTATATTAAATAAAAGTTAAAAAAAACTTTTTATTTATTTGACAAGCAGAGGGAGAGAGAGAGACAGAGAGAGTGCTCTTATCCACTAATTCATGGCCCCAATGCGCAAAATGACTGGTCAAGAGCCAGGAACTCCATGGATGCCTGCCATGGGTGTGGCAGGATCTCAGTTACTTGAGATAATTCCTGGTGCCTCCCAAGGATCTGCGCTAGCAGGAAGCTGGAGTCAGGAGCTGGAGCTGGAAAATGAACCAAGATACTCAGGAGGGAGGTGGGCATATTAACCAGCACCTTAAGAGTTGGACCAAACACCCGCCCCTTCCCGTATACCTTACATCTTCTCTAGATTATTGACAATACCTAATACAGTGTAAGCACTAGGTAAATAGCTGTTATACTGTGCTGCTCAGGGAATAATAAGAAATGCATTTTTCCCCCGAATACTTTTGAACCAAGGTTGGTTGAATCCATGGATGGGAAACCACAGATACGGAGGCTGACTGCAATCGCTCTGCAGCACACTCATGGAGGAAAGCCGTGGGAGATGGGCATCTGGCCCAGCAGTTGGGGTGTCCGCATTCCATACTGCAGTGCCTGGGTTTGGTATCTGTCTGCCTCCTGGCTCCAGCTTCCTGCTAACGCAGACCCTTGGAGGCAGCAGGTGAGGGCTTGAGTAATTGGGTTCCTGCCTCCCACATGGGAGACCTGGATTGACTTTCCGGCTCTCAGCTTTGACCTCAGCTTTACTCCACCCATCACAGGCATTTGGGGGAGTGAGCCAGCTGATTGGAGCTCTCTGCCAGTCTGCATTCCCTTCCTCCCTCCCTCCCTCATAAATAAAACGACTTGGCAATAACAAGGTGATGCTATGAGAGTTTTCCTAAATTTTCCTTCCATCACATAAGATGGACACCCATTCAAAGAGCAAACCCAGGGCAGAGCTATGGACAGGGCACCACTATGGGTCTCCAGGAGCTCCCCAGGTTCTAGAGACCGGGGTGGGGGTTCTGAGTCAGCACCTGAGATACCACCAGGGCACAGCCTCCTGTGGGAACTCACTCTGGCCTGACACATCCCCATCTGAAGACCTCCTGACCTCTTAGACAAATGCCACCCTCCTCCATTCCAGACATGGGTAACAAGGCAGAAGCAGGTTCACACAGACTGATGGCAGGCCCAGGGGCCTCACATGCCCTGGCAGGCGGCAGGGCCCCCCCACCAAGCACATGGCAGCAGCTTCCTGCTCCCCTTCCACAGCCCACAGGACGCCCTCTAATGGAACCTGTGCTAAAATGAGCTCTCCCCCTCACAAACACACCCCTTGGGGACGCAGGAGCCATTTGGAACTAAGCAATGGGCTGAACAAGTGACAGAGCAAGTGGCCATGCTCAGGCTGGGAAGCAGCTGTCGCCAGGCTTCACGGGGAACTAGGAAGCCACAGCAGGGCAAGACTGCCTCCAGGGGACTGTGCTCACCCCCACCCTCCTGGGAACAGGCAATGAGAGGGTCTCAGGACCACAGGAAAGCAAAGAGGAGACCAAGAGCGGACGGAAGACGTCGCTGAGGCTCAGAGGGAAGGGAGCCAGGGTGGTCCTGCATGGTGCTAATTCCAAACACTTTAACCACAGAGCCACCCCTCAGAAGCCTGCCCCCTCACACTGACATGTCCCCACTGTAAATGCGGTGGTGAAAGAGCACCCACAATAATCTAAGAACCCCATGTTCTCAGCCTGATGCCCTCTGACCCTCTGACAGGAGCCTGGGTTCGCTGATGACAAAATGATGCTGCTAGGGTGAGATCTGGTTTTAAAAATTCCACCATGGCACAGCAGACAAACCACTGCCAAGGATGCGGGCAGCCCATATGATTGCTGGTTCGAGACCTGGCTGCTCCACTTCCAGTCCAACTCCCTGCTAATGTGCCTGGGAAGGCAGAGGATGGCCCAAATGCTTGAGCCCCTGCTGTCCACACAGGAGACCCGGATGGCTTTCATCTGATCCAGCTTTGACCACTGTAGCCATTTGGGGAGTCAACCAGAGGATGGAAGGTCTCTCTCTCCCCCCATCTCTAACTCCACCTTTCAAGTAAAACAGACCTTACTCTACTGTGTACTCAGCCCCTTGGATTTCAAAACGCTTTGGAAAAAAACCAACTCAATGT